GGGTACATTTGTGGCCAGCTGCTTTTTAAAACCGTTTGATTCGTTTTAAACTGAACTGCAGAATATTAATAAAACTGACCAGAGATAATAGCAGGAAGAAAATACAGGAACCCCCCCCCCCAAAATACATTTCATTCACCCACACAGTCAAACCCTTCTCTGTCTCATTTCATAGAAACTTCACAGTACATACATCAACAGTCACATTCTATCTTATACTTTACATAATTTAACAAAATCAGAATCAAAATATTAAGAACAACAGTTGCCTCATCCTCAAGAGTGTTATTATGTATTGTATGTGCCGGTTCCTTTTATTTACATATACATCACTTACTGCATGCTGGAGGATTTTCCCCCCTGCTGTTTACAACAATGGCTACGTACTAGAGCAGCAATTTCAGCAACCACAAAAGCTTTTTACTGTATTTGATGAATCATCCCTGTGTTCTATAAACCATCATAGACTGCAAAATAGATGTTAATATGTATGGAAATGTTATAGATCAGTACAGTAAAGAGGACAGAAACGGAATTGTTTTCGTCTTATGAACATGTAAATTTAATGTAGTACTTTATTAAGGCTTAAAAGGCCTGAAGTATCATTAACAACTGTCGAGTGTTAGATAGAGCGGGACAGATAATGGTGGAGGACAGGCAGAGAGGAGGCTAGAGAAGAGAGCTGTGAACCTAATGAACACTGTGCTTTTATTCTCTCTGCCCTCTCCAAGGCTGGAATCTGACTAATTACTACCTCTTTAACAGACCAAAACAGTCCCCTTCACGAACATGGCCTTCTTCTATAGTGGAGACAGCTTAGTTTTTTTACACAACATTTAATCTGTAGCACGTAGCACAAAATTCTGTGAAAAACACAACGAGACCATAAGAAAGAGGTTTCATTGTTCATGAGAATTATTGCATTAAAATAATATGAATTTGAAACATTCTTGAAAATTTAATTTTTTTGAAATTGTTCTAATGAAAACATATAATACCAGTCAATTATAAATGCACTAATTAATGTTTCTTGAAAATGTCTGTTTAGGTTTCCTTCTTTTTGTCCTCATGAAAGTAAAAAGACTAATTCTACAGCAATGCTAGCAGCTCTGTGAGGCTGTAGCCTACTTAGACACAGTGCAGTGCTGCTATGAGCTAATGTTAATGTTAGCATGCTAACATGCTCACAATGATAATGCTAACATGCTTTTATCAGGTATAACATTAATATGTTCACCCTCTCAGTTTAGCTTAATTGTTAACTATTTGTTTTGCTTTGTATGCTGCTAGCATAGCTAAAACATGGCTGGAAGTCATTTTTATGTGCGACAGTGTCACACCACAGTGTGTTAAGATAGTTGTTAGAAATGTGGGGTTTCTTTAGTTAAAATATACTCTTAATCTTATATGTCTTATGAGTTCTTTGGTAGTTTTGTAAAACCAAACGGACAGTATTTTAATTGAATTTATTTCAGGATAACCCCTTGAGATGTATCATATCATTTTTGAGGGGGTCCTGCAGCACACGTACAAAGTTAACCACACGGTACATATACATAAACATAAACACAATACATACATATCTGTTTCTCTCTTGTTACATACATTGAGAGGTTGAAAAGATCATAATGAACAATTTTTCACTTTCAGGTATTTTAACCACACTGGAAAGGTGGAAATTAGACAAACTGAGAGGGAGGGGGTGGGAAATGTAGCTATTTCAGTCTTCCAATAATAGAAATATGGAGAACCTATTCAGCTTTCATATGATCCAAGGATGCTTCACAGCTGCAGGCTATACAGAAACACATTGTTTATGAGCGTTACAGGATTTAGCATGTTTGTGAACTACTTTACTTTCATGTATTATATTTGTTGCAAGCTGTTTCATTATTTAAGTAGCCTATATTTTGTTCACCCACTGTATCCATAATATGGTATACTGCTATATTTTCTGCATGTGAGTCAAACATGTACCTCTAAACTCTTTATGTATTGAATTATTTCTTTTAACAAATATGCTGGTGCAGTGATAATTGATGATGGAGGGCTTGTATTGCTCAAATTTTGTATACTCTGTGATTGTAAACTTATGTCCTCAGATATTTCTGTTGACATTAACATTTTAACATTTTATGAACCCAAACTTCTCCGTTATTATTTATTGTTTTTTTAATCTTTGAGGTATATGTTCCCACTATTTGCTACAGCAGTGTACCCACAGGGACCATTAAAGTTTCATTTGACCTTATCTCATGTGTAAGGTAAACAGACTCATTAAGCAGGTTGCAATCACAGTTGAGGGTGACACACTGCAGAAGCACATCATGCGCATCATGGGGAATCAGCTCATCTCTGGGGAAAGGCTGCTGCCTGGCTGTGGCTACAGGTGCAACAGAAGCTAACACTCACAGCTGCACCACACATGCTCGCACACACACACCTAAATATATTTTTGTAACTCAAGGACTACCTGCTTTCTTATAGAGGCAATTTGGTGTTGAAGCTTTCAGCAGGGTCCTTCAATTTACATTGAGTTTTTCTGATGTTCTTCAGTAGTTCAGGTAAATAAATGCTTGATTAAGAATCATAAAAAGCATTATAAGAGCTGGTAATTGAAAAGACATGCAGCATGTGGCATGAAACAGCCATCTGTCTTTGATCTGTCCTGAACGCTGTGTGCTGCTCCCTTGTGGTAGAGCCTCCTGGCTAACACTAGCAGCTGCTGAGAGCTGTACACCCACAACACTTTGTTCTGTCAGTGATTTTAAGGATCAATAGTAACTGCCTGTTCAGCAGCAGCATTGCTATTGTGATGGTATCAGTCCTGAGCTCAGAGTTCCTCACCAACCAACAACAGCACCACATATTTGGGATTTTGACACAAATAGGATGCCCCTTGTTTGAAAGGCAACAAATAAAACAGTCCCCCCTTCTGCAGAAGCAATTAGGCTCACTAAAAACTGTGGGTGATGCGAACACAGAGTGAACCCTGTGTATTGAAGTGAACTTTCCAAAGATCGACTTGTCACAGTTGCTCAGGAAACATCCCTGAGGTGAGCCGTGGGTGACAGCTGCTGCCGCTCCACTGGCACAGGTAAATGCCAGAAACCCCACTTGGATACACTGCCTTGCTGACACACACACACACACACACACACACACACACACACACACTTTTGGGGACATCACATAGACTTTCATTTCCTGGAGACTTACTCTAAGCCCAACCATAACCAGAACACCACGGCATTTGTTCCCAACTGGACAAGTTGCCCTCAACTGGTCTTTTGCCTTAAATTTGTCCCCAAAGGTACTATAAGTCATACTCACACACACACACACTCACCGTGTCTCACCCTAATAGGAACACAAGCAGGCTTAGCTATTGTCATACTGTCAGCACATAGAATAGAGATGGATGACATGCATGTGCACACTTCTTTTCAGTTAAACAAACAGAGTCTCTCTGACACACACACTGTAATTGTTCAGCATAAACAGAACAATAACAGAAGTGGTACTGATGTTTCTTCCTGGAAAATGGATAGAGCTGAAGAGAACAATTCTGCGACAGTGGCACAATACAGCATTATTACTACATAAAAGAGTAGTAAAAATGATGATTGAGTGTTTAAATATTCCAAACATGCTCTTTTATGTGGACGGTCTTATCATCTGTATGTCTGAATGTCGAATATTATGAATCCATTGTATATGATGGTCGGATATCCAGTAGATCAGATGTCAGTAATGTCTGGTTCGGTATATTTGATGTTTTTTAATGTCGACACATGATGTAACAAAAAAAAGCACAAACAATGTAGCTCAAAGAAAAGCACACATAGGCCTACACTCGCACTCGCACAAAAACATTTAAGGCATAATGCGTAATGGGTGTAATATTGATTTTGTGCAGCGATCCTTCTCTCATCTGCTCTTATTGCTCTGCAGTGGTGTGATAATCAATCTTCCCATAATTCTTAGCATGAATAACTCTTTAATCTTCATTGAGCTGCTGCATTATTCCTCCCGCTGTAGAGTTTTCTCTCATCTCTCTGAGAGGTTAGCCAGGAAATGAATAGTATGCAGTACTGAGGAGGACCACCAGGTGTCGGTAGAGTAAAAGGAATGTATTTCAAATTTTACAGAATCAGATCCCAAATGGGGAAAGCAGACTTTCCTGCTCTTCACTTGGCCTGTTCCTTTTCCTGCTTCTCATACCCTTAATGACAGGAGACAGCACTGCGCCTGTGGCCATGTCACCTGTCCTAACAATGCATTTGTCACATACACACACACACACACACACACACAGAGCAAACAGAAGAAGCGAAAAGACAATCACCTCAGAATGAATATGATTACAAATATAATAACTCATGCAGAAAACTCATCCATGTGAGGTTTACACAGGCACAACCTTGCACCTGTGAGCTGTAGAGGCCACAGGTCAATTTATCATGCACATGTTCTGCTTTGAGTTTTATGGCCGTTAAGGTTTGTTATAAGTGGACATTGACATATAGAAATTCTTAAAAACCTACCTGAGACTCACAGCAACCCTTTCCGCTTCAGCAGACATGTGACAGCCACTTAAACGTGCGCACGTAAGCAGATCAATTTAGCTGTGTTGTAAATACCTTTTTAGTATATTATGGGTCACTGTGTTGTTCATGCAACTACCCAGTTATGTGTCATTTCTGTCACTTCATCTTGTAGTGTTGGCCTGCTGTCAGCACTGTATTAGTACAGTACACTCAGAAAGAAATGACATTTTGATTCACACTGCAGATACTTTTAATTACACGACATTTCTGCTGCTGGGCTAAATTATGAGCTATGAAGGTATTTCTTGGAGCACACCATTGGAGACTCTCTCTGAACAGCTCCACTTATTATTCTGATGATGTTTTTTTTAATTGATGAGGATGATGATGATGAAAATGAACAAACATGATACCCCTCTCATTAGCCATGTGTTGTTCTCTTTCTGACAGTAAAGGGGAGGCGGCATCTATCGAGACAGAGCTACTGAGGGACTACAGGTTTGGACAACAGCAGCTGATAGAGATTTGGGGACAAGCATGCGCCCTCGCCATCACTAAGGTCTGCACGCTTTCTATTTTCCACATTTATGTTGTTGTTTGTGTGCATGTGTTAGTTTCTATCTTTCTATTATTCTTTCTTGATTGCTTACTATCCCTACCTTACAGTAATGAAGCAGAACTCTTTTTCCTGTTTTTAATAGATTCAAAATCTCCATCCATCCAACCATCTAAATGTGTGTGGTCATGCTATTAGTATAACCAAAAGCAGAGACAAATTACATCATTCCAGTATGTTTTCATGGCAGTTTTTGTTTTTATTGTGAAATGGACCTTTGTTTTAACGTGCTGTTGTGCTTTCAGAGCTCTTTTCTTTTGACCATTAAACCAATGGCACCAAATACTGAACATTGGTAACCATTTACTGTGATGTGTATGTGTGTATGTTGGGTCTGTATTTCAGTGTGTGTTTAGCAGTAAAGCTAGCTACAGTGCTTTTTCCATTTTTAATTTTTAATAAATTTACACAGATTTTAAAGAAACTTCTTTCATGTTGTCATTATGGGGTATTGTTTGTAGAATTTTGAGGAAAATAATAAATTTTATCCATGTTGGAATAAGGTTGTCGCATAACAAAATGTGGAAAAAGTGAAGTGCTGTAAATACTTTCTGGATGCACTATATATTGTAAAACAAGTATTTCTGTTTTTGAATTTTCATATATTTTGTGACGTGTTTTCAATGAATTTAATAGTTTTATCTTCTCTTCTGCTCTGTCTTTTTATTGAAAAGAAATTGAAAAGTTTAACTCTACAAACATTTAGTCATTGTTTGAAAATGTCACACAAAGCATTCTTTTCGATCAGTCCTTTCCCTAGTCATGTGGCTGTAAAGATTACCACAATTTCAGTCAACTCCTTACATTGAGAGAGCTAGCTTTTTCTTTTAAATCCACATGCTTTTGGATGGATTGGTCAAATTAAAGTCATGCAAAACCTTTAAAAATTACTGTACTTTTCTGTATAAAGGCAACCAACCCAGAACCATTCTTATAAGCTCAAGTAAAAAAAAAAAATCCACTCCTGTGCAAATCCGTTTAATAGCGCACACTGTATATCACTCATCAACCATTTCTAAAGGTCACAAATTTTATCCCCAAATTGTTTTAGAAAAGCTGTTGCACATTCTGTCACTCTGAGCCTCAGTAATCACCACAAAACCTCTGGTGTGACCGTTCGATTGTACAAGAGGGCAAGTCACAGCTGCTGCTACTTACACCTTCCTAATTTGCATTAACTTCCATACAAAAAGCCTGACTGTTATATGGAGGAAATGTAACTTTCTGTGACATTTACTTCCAAACATTAGAGCGGCTCACCTCAGGGCAGAACACCTGAGCTCACTCTGTGGCAGCACTCCGAAACCACACTGGTCCTGAACCACAGCTCTTCTTCTCTGTGATCTGGACTATGTCAAGCTGAGTGTGTGTGTGTGTGTCCATGGAGGACTGTTAGGAACACATGTGGTTCCCTTTGACCATACCACTGGCTTGGTTTAATGCCACACTGGTTTTCTCAGTGGACTCTTCAACAGTAAGTGATGAATAAGAGTCTGAGCAACAAGACACATGAAACCTTGAGTTGCTGTCAGAAGGAGGGATGAAGAGAAAGAGAAGGAAAAAAGACAAAGGCAGAAGCCGAAACACAAATGAGTGCTTTACAAGAAAAATTTACAAAAAACACATTGATAAAAGTGATAACAGCAGCGTTCAATGAGACGTCTGTGATATCTGGCACAGAGAAAGCAAAGAAGACAGATATGTAGAGACATAATAGTAAGGAAGACAACAACATTGTTTTTGACAAACAAAATGAGACAAGTGAAGCAGTAACACTACCCTAAGCATCACCCTAATTTCATAGATTCTTGATTTATCAAAAATCAGGATTAAAGGAGACCTATTATGCTTTTTCATATTTACTGGCATATCTACAATGTTACAATGTCAGATGTTCTTGTTAAACATGGCCAAATTTTCAAATAAGGGTTATAAGGTTAAATAAGTTTTAAGCTCACAGTAAGCTCACGCACTCTACGGGAGGTAGAATGTGTCCGACTTGACGGTAGTGTTTTTATTGCCCGCCCCTGCAGTCGCCTGCAGCTCACGTTTGACTATCAAGTTGGTGAAAGTCAGCCGCAGTCATCTCGAACGCAGCTATTGACATTTCATCACCTTTTAAGTTGATGTGATAAATTTGACAGTTGCCTAATTACACTTCCTGCAGTTACAGAGCAACATCATCATTTAGAGCTGTGTTTCTGGCCACCTGGCGTATGTGAATAACTCTTGTTTAACTCTCTTTTTGGTCTCTATAAACTTCTGAGGGAATATCTGCCAAATGATTTAGCTGCTGAATGCTCCACTGGGTTCACCAGCTAGTTGCTAACTTTGCCTGTCCACTGTTTGGTAGCGTACAGTGGGTGTTTAGGACTTTTGTTAGTGAAAACAGCTTCCGGGCCAAAAATGACGCTGTGAGCAGTGACAGTGAACCAAAACAGTTAAGTCTTGAGCTGAATGGCTAAACAATGAGCTGAAACTTGCTCTAATGTCCCATTTAGCTGAGGAGAGGTTAATGTTTATCCGCTCATTGATTTGGTTCAGTCTCACCGCTCTCACCAAACTAATTTCCAGCCAGGAAGCTTTCTGTGGAAAATGCTCTAAAAGCAGACTGCACACTGAAATGGCAGACATGGCTGCGTTCCATTTACCTCGGAAGTCGGAAATCGCTGCTGGAAATGCCATCACGCCCGAGTGTGTGCTTGGCCAGCCATTGTTTACAACTAGGGAGGTTAGCCATTGTTACCAACACCAGTTGATAAAAATGCATTAGATGGTATGTATGCATACCACAGCAGCAACATGTCCACAGACAGTACTTTGCTAATGCTAATAAACAGTATAAACTACAGCTTTGATACTTTTGATACACGGACTAGCCATCTTGGATCACAAAGTCGAGGGTCGAGTGATTCTCTTGGCTTTCTGAGTCAGAAATCCGACTTAAGGGGGCATTCCAGTTGAAATTTCCGACTGGGAAATTGGAATTTTGGAGTTCCCAGTCAACTGGAAAGCACAAACAGACACAGTTAGTAACTAGCTAGTGAACATTGTGAAGTGTTTAGCAGCTCAAGAGCCAGATATTTATCTCAGGAGTTGGTAGAGACCAAAAAGAGAGCTAAAAGGAAAGTCAATATTTACATTCATCAGATGGAACAAAACACTACAAACACAGACAGACACAACAGCAACAGTTTTAAAAAAGTGAAATGGAAAATGGAACATGAGAAAGAGAAAAGTAAAAGCTGAGACAGGCAGAGTGGCAGCATCAGTCAGAAGCAGAGACTTTCACTGTTCTCCCCTCAGAGTGTGTGATTAAACCGACCACATCCACTTCCCCTCTATTATTATCAGCCACCGCTGGTCCCATGCCTGGCCCTCCACCAGCAGCCCCAACAGCATAGCCTTACTAGACAAACATGGCCAGGACGCTGTGGATCACTGCTGCCCACAGCCGCCAGCAGCGTGCTACTGCTTACATGACATCACTGCTATTTAAGGAAAATTACAGTAGAAAGCGATGCAGACAGTCTGATTTCACTGATGTCAATGCTGGCCTACTGCTGTTGGCTTCCAAGTATACCACACAAACAAGCTTGTGCTCAGTCACAGTCACACACACACACGCACACACACACACACACGCACACACACACGCACACACACACACACACACACACACACACACACACACACACACACACACACACACACACACACACACACCTACGCCTCAGGTTGCCAGATAGATTATAGGTTTTCTGTAAGTAATCCCTTTACTGTTCCAACAGCAGCAGCCGCAGCCACCAGGTCCAGACTGTGTGTGTGTGTGTTTCTATATCAGTCTGAGGCTTTTCAACACCTGAGTGGAGACAGGAGAGGTTTTTGTTACCACACAGCAATAAAAGAGTCTACAGTTTACAGGAGCCCCTGGACTTTAGCTTGGCCTTCTAGTGCAAATATTGATGGCGCTGTTATTCTACACAGTGTATTTGTGTTTTTAGGACCCTGATAATGTTTTCTCAGGCTCAGTGTGTGTTCAGGTTGATTGGAGGTGAAAGAACATGTGTGTCTTTAACATTTATTTCAAAGAGGTAATCCCTTGGAGACATTATTACAATCAAGACAGACATATTTGTGTGTGTGTGTGTGTGTTTGTGAGTGTGAGGGGGTCCTAGCAGTGCTTTTAACAAACCCCTGAACTCTCCTAACCTTTCTTAATTTGGGCCCTTCCTAAAGCTCATGTCCTAAAAGTGTCTGTTATTAATAAGCGTTATTGCAAAATTACAACCTATTTTCTTCGATGTAATTTTTTTTTGCTTGCGCTACAGGTCCATATGTAAAACTTTGCTGTGGGCCTTAAATGTCATGTCCACAGCAAACTAAGAAAATGTCAAGTTCTACAGAAGAACAGAAAAACTGAAGCAACCAGGTCCCAAACCTGCCAAACAGATGCAACAAACCATCTGGCCACACTCCTACAATCAAAAATATCATAAATATCTCAAACACTGGAAAACATTTGAACAGGTTTATTAGCATAATGGAGTCATAAAACCTTGTTTTTTTCTAAAACAACAATGAGATGACATATAATTTGATGCCAAGGGAGTTTAAACTGTTTGAGAGTTTTATTGAAAAACAAGATCTTTTTGGAATAAAGTGTATCACAGACTTGTATGAAGACATTTAATCAAATCTAAGATAGAATTAAAGCTATCACCACTACCGGGTATAAATCCATACGACTTTCGTGTGTTTTGGCTTTTATTGTGTGTACAATTAATCAAATAGCTCATAAATTAGTTTATAATTGCAAGCTATTTTAATATGATTAAATTAAAGTACCTATGGAATTCATTGCCTTTGACATCCCTCTTTTTTCCCCATTACAAAACAAACACACAAACAAAAGGGCACTTCCAACACCAACACAACAAACCTATTAACAGTTCTCTCCATCTACTCTTTTGCTAATTGCTTGCACTTATTCAGTGATCCATTTGAAGGCTCAATATCAGAACAAGTGACTGGATAGGATAGATATGTGTTAGAGTGAATCAAGCTTCAAAACACATTAGAGTGCTGCCTGAATTGATCCAGCCTGCTCCCTTTATAGCTGCTTATCCTCAACAGTGTATGGCTTTAATGGTTTCTGCAGCAGCATGAAATGGCTCCAGCAATGATATCACTGACGTATTTTGTATTAGAACCATTCCTCCACCTTTAATCTGTAGATGTTTTATTTTAGTCTAGTAACACCTATATGGGTTCACAGTCGGGGTCAGGACTATCTGAGACAATAGCTGCTTTAAAAGCTGGTCGCAGTAATTATGGTTAGCATTTCCGTCTTGGGAAGTCAGTAAAGAAAGCTTGACATTAAGCCACACACACCTACGCCTCAGGTCCACAGACGGTGCCTCTGTAAATGAACTCAGTGAGATGTGTCATTAACATCAGGTCAAGCAGTGTGAAGCTGTCCTATTTTACTGTCGTCTACTTTTAGTCTCTACTATTTCATATCCACCTGCTCCTCTTTCCTCATGTAACACTTATCACATCACATCTCACTGAGCCTGGGTGATAATTTCTCAGCTGAGCCGTTATAATGGAGATAACGGCTGCTGTCTCCTCCTGGATTCATGCTCTAATGTACTCTGAGTCTTCTTATGTCCAATTATAAAAAGAGGAGAATGGCCTATTTCTGACACTGTACGCAGGATAAGCAGTTTACGATGGATGGATGGAGGGATAGATGGAAGCAATGGATTTTATGTGCAGTGAAATTTCGTCCTATTTCAAGCTCAGTTTCAAAATTTGGAGGCAAAGGATCAACAATGTATGATTTTATCTTTTTTAAACAACCAAATGGCGGACAAGTATCTTAATTTGAATTTTGGAACATTTTAAATTGCAGCCTGCATATTATAGTATAATTAGGTTGTAAGTATGGTTACCTTTTATAATAATTTTAAATAGTTACAGGACACAATAAAACATTTATGGGGGACCAAAAGTCTTGTTATAAAGGGGTAACAAATAAATTATGGTGTAACTTAGAGGATACCACCTGAAAAAACTGCTAGCTAGCAAGCTTTCTCACTGAGGTGACACGAGTGAATGAAACAGACACAAACAACAGCCCCTATGACAGTGTTAGGGCGGACCAATAGGCTAGATGGTGATATTTCCCCAGTAATAGAACTTGCTCCATTGATTTGCTGGTTCAGTCTGAGGGGAAATGAAACAAAGTTGAAGTTATTTAAAAAAACTAAAAGATACAGGGCTTTTAAGAAAGAGCCCAAAGAAGCCCTACTAGCCCGGTCCGCCGCTGGGCTAACTGGTCTTATGACTTGTGCTCGCACAGATATATCATTTATTGGGAACTAATTGGATAGGATTTGGAAGTCTGCATAAAACTGCCTCCCTCAGTTCAAGTTATTTTTCTAGTTTATACAATTACTGTAACCTTTACAATGATGAACAATCATTCTTGTTTAAGGTAATAAGGCAGAAGCTCTCAGTTTAAATGAACAAAAAATCCCTTAAAAGCAAAAACAATTTTTCTTTCTACCTTTTAGTCAGGGTGCTATGGGGAGCCAGGGGGAACTTAGCGCCCCTTAATAAGATATCAGCTCCCCTAAAAGCATGATTTGTGATATTTTGGGGGGGTCTATTGACAGCATGCTTTATTGTCGTTAATTTCTACATTTTTCTATCATGCCTAAAATCAGGAGTGTCAGAGTTCATCCAGGCAGAGGAAACGATCACCGACCGGGCCAGTCGCTCCTTGATCTCCTGTCCCTGGCCCTGTATGCTCCACTCCCTTTCCGGTGCGGATTGTGTCGCTAGTTCGACCGACACGCTGTGAACGGTTCGTGATCGTTCCCTCTGGCTGGATGAACTTTACCTATGATCCATTTAGGCCTACTACTGCAGCCCCTCAGTGCCACGCAACTTTCTAAATTCTTCCCTCTCACGGGATAAAGAAAGGTCAGGTCGGAAACATAGCCTGCTGTTGTGTGAAGCATAATTGTAGCAAAATGGCTACATATGATAATAATATAATAAGACAAACATGCCTGACACTTTCACAGTCAGCCCCCAGCCTACATATGATTCAGCAGTGAGAATCACAGTGCGTCTGCCCCCCCGGCAAAAAAAACAGTGAGCTCCCCCAAAAGTTATGGTATAGTTGGCACACTGCTTTTAGTAAGGATCGCACACAAGCACAAACACACAGCCCTTCTGTTTAGGTGGTGGAGATGGAAGATTGGGCACTCAGGTTGACGGTTCAACAGGCGAATACTTGTCTCGATTAAGAGGGTGCAGAGTGATTTACAAGGAAATGTGCGGCCAGTAAATGAGGAAGATGCCAGCAGCCCGCTGCAGCCGGCCCGAGACCGGCTGCAGCGTATACACGGAAGCATCCCATGGTGAAGACACTGGTATTTTTTTCCACTGCTGCCAGGGTTATTTTAATGAGACTGGACCACTTCTCGTGCCATTTCCACCCTCGTCCGGTATGCTTGGCATGCTGCAGTCAGGAGTATGATGACATGAAGGCAGACACAGATCGGTTGACCTGCCCTGAATAACAGATATATACTCAATACTGAGGAGCATCCATCTTTCTCTTGCTTTTGTCTCACTATTATTCTCTATCAATGCTTCTATTTTCTCATTTGTACATGTGTCTTATGCTTTTTTCCCCATCACTCATCGGCTCCTGTTTCTAACAGCCTACCTATGTCTCTCCACCAGGCCTACCCTCTCAGCTCTCTAGCAAAGAAGCAGCCAACAGTGCTGGTGATCTGTGGTCCGGATCAAAATGGCTCCATTGGCCTGGTGTGTGCCCGACACCTGCGCATGTTTGTAAGTAAACTACTGTACAATGTATGTGAGGGTAGCCAACAACACAGTGCAGTACAATAACTTTACAGAAGAGTAAATCCCTATTATTATATTCAGCAACACGAAAATGATCCATCATAAAACACAGTCTGGTGCTTACTGAGTCATTTAGATGTTATCACAATTGGATCCCTTATACAGGCCCTCTGCACTTCAGCTCCTGTAAACGGCTCAGAGCAGTTATCCCATTACCCTCCCTGCATGGGCACTCAGACAGTCATGATATCATGCTATTGTTACTCTTGTTAAAGCCGTCTGTGTCTTACACTCAGCAGCCATGATATGATGTCATGACCATGAGGTCTGCCCCTCAGGCCACATACTGACGGACATTTCAAGACTAATTGTTTTTGAGGCAGGATTTGTCCTCTCCAAACACACATCACAGATCATGACCCCCAGACTATGACTTTATTGGAAGAGAAATATTGGATTTGAATGCATCTATACACTTTACCATATGTGTCTGACACACTAGATTTACAGTGCATTGATTGTTGTTATTAAAACCATGTTGGATGGACTGTGTTTAAGCAGCCTGATGGCTCTCTGCGGAGTCTCTCTCTCTTCCCTTGCCTTACACTCTCTGTCTTGTTTTTCCTCTTAAGACCAAGGTCAGTGGTCAGCTCAGAGGGACATATATATTTTACCCTGGTATTTCCACAAATGAAAGCTTCTCCATAGAAACAATTAGGCACCAATTCCCTCTTTTAAATATATATTTTGTGTGCTATTTTAACCATTTTTTTGTCGCTTTCTTTGTAATGTTTTTACCTTTGGTTTCTGTTTTTTTTTCTGTGTAATAGTCCAATATTGTGAAAACTCTTACTGCTTCTTGAAATGTGCTATATCAATAAAGTTTTGTTATTATTATTGTCAAAGTGAGTGCACACTATCAGTATTGGGACCACACTTGCCTGAGTTTGTTCTAACTTGAGAAACTTGAGTACTTACTTTGAATTGTGAATCACCCTCCTGGTGAAAGAGTGTATGTTTTTCATGGTGCGATGTGATCCCTGTCAGCAGGAAGACATGCAAACATACACGTGAGACACACACACACAGACACACACAGCCCTGAGCTGCTGATGGAGAGCTGTGAATGTGATTAGACAGAGCATAGAAATGAATGATCAGCTGCAGGAAAACAGGCCAACTTGCTTGTCACGTCACTCAAAGGCGTCCGTGTTCACAAAAGCAGGTTTTGTGTGAGTCTGTCATGCATCTTTGATTATTTCCACTGAATGGGCAAAAGCACAATGCTGCATACCGGAAGACACACTTATTTTTTGATCAAAGCAAATGTTGGATGAGAGTAAAAAACAAGTCTTATGCCCATTAGTTCCGGTGTATTGTTCGTATTAAAATAAGTGGACATGATGTTTTGTTTGGCTCACCACTTTGTGCTGTATAGACAATCACTGCACGGAAAGTTCACATTTCTGATGTCAGTCACATTACAACTGGCAAAAATGAAATACAAAAATTCTTTGTCATAGTCATATATAATAATTAAAAAAAACTTTCAAACTTACTGGACAATACAGTTGAATAGTTGCAACAATATGTTGTTTCACGAGATAAAGATTTTGGTGTGCTGAAGACCTCAAAACATCCTAATGGGATATGTACAAAAACAAAATACTACAAGACACCATCGGACCCTCAGGGAGAGGAACTGTGTTAAATCTGAGCATTAATTGGAAACACACCTTGTCTGTACCCTCTGCTTGTTTATGTCTCACGGCTCATTTCTGTTTATGCTCAGTGACACACACACACATACACACACACACGCACACACACACGCACACACACACACTGTGGATTGTATTTGGCTCATTTGCTCGCTCTGTGCTCTGCGGAGATCAGGCTGGAGATGACGTCAGGTGATGGTTTGCTTTGGTAGTTTGATTGGTTTAGGATCCCCAAGGAAGCAGCAGTCTGTCTGACCTGACATATCACTTCCTTTGTGAAGCAGCCTCAGCTCAGCCAGATTTGAAAGTACCGTTTCTATTTATTTATTTATTCGTTCATGTCTGTGAAACAGGTCTTTGGCTTGAGCTGCTAAAGATTCGAGAAGGATTTACTGGCCAGATGTTAAGACTCAATATGCAATCTATTTTAAATCAGTGATGAAAGAGATGAATGACAACAAGAAGTACATTTATGTTGCATGTTCCAAGCGCAATAACAATAACGTAGGCTAATCAAATATACCAAAATGATCACCCTACATCTGTCAAAAATGTCACAATGGCAATGCTAACAGACTGATGTTTAGCAGGTATAAAGTTTATCATATTCACCATTTTAATGCTAAGGTTTGCTAATTAGCACAAAACACAAATCGCAGCTAAAGCAGAGGTATTTAGTCATAAACTAAAGCACTGGACAAACAAAAAAAATTACCGATATTATGGTGATGCTACATGAGATACTATGGGGTCACCTTATTTCTTTTTCATCCTATGTGGGACAGGAATGTGTGTAGCAAATTTCATGACAATCCATCAAATTGATGGTGAGATATTCCAGTCTGGACCAAAGTGGTGGATCAACCATCAAACCAAGTAAAAAATAGACCAACATTGCCACCCCTATTGCCATGCTGCTAGAATGGCTATGTTTATTTCCAGAAACGATGACCCAGTTACCCTGCACACACCTCACTGTCAACAGATTTTTTGCTACTTACTTTCTATTTAAGAAACCTGTCTGCAATGTGTTCTGTGGATTTTCCAGACTAATGGCACATTTTTCTGGATAGATCTTACTGTTGATTTTTTTTGACTGTAACTTTTAAATGCTGGTAACACTACAAATGAAATTCCTTTTACCTCCACTGTATTCAGATGGATGATATCTCATAGCCTGAGAATATAAAACAAAACTGCATGGCTTGATACCAATAGGGATAAGTGAGATCTGGCCCTTTGAAAGAAATTATGTAGATACTTATCTATAGGACTATGTTTTTTAAGAAAAATAACCTTTTACATTATCAAACATGCAAACAAGCACAAAGACTCAGTGCTGACAGTGTTTCTTAGGTTTGAAGATTTATCTTTGGGACTGTGTAAAGGTCACGGATCACAGACGCTTCCTGCTGAGCATCACAGACCTTTCAGACTGCGAGAGTCTGGATTTCTACTCCACTCAGCTTCCAGTATTCACTGAGAAAGCAGGCTGTACAAAAAACAACTTCTGATCACTTGCCAAATATACATGAATCATGTCAGTACTGGCTGAAATTTAAGGCTATAGTGTTGCAAGGACTTAACATTTTCTTTATTTTTGTGTGTTTCTCTTCTCTGTTGTTTGTCTCTGTTGCCTCATTTCACGCAGGAATATGAGCCCACTATCTACCACCCTAAACGCTCCCCACAAAGTCTACACCAAGACTTTACAGTTCAGTGTGAGAAGATGGACATCCCTTTCCTCTCCTACCTTCCCACAGAGGTCAGCAGCATTGTTGGAGCATAACACATTTGAAGAGCTTCAGTGGTGTTGTTGCTAGCTGTGCAGTTTAAATGACACTTAATTAAATATATATTAATATTATATAATAAAATCACTTAATTTAGAGTATGCATTGTTGATTCATTTTTAACAGTGAAAACTGCTTTGATTAAAAGAGTTAAATGCCACTCCCCCGTCTGTACTACAAATATGTAGCTGGATCCAACAGCTGTCTAGCTAAGCTCAGCATAAAGAATGACCAAAGGCAACAAATTCTGCCTACCAGCACCTCTAAAACTCAGCAATTAGCATGTTATATGTCATTTTTTAAATCTGTACAAAAAATAAAGAGTGTGCTATACTATTTCTTGACCGGGCGGGACGTAGAGTAAATGACATGATACAACATGTTAATTAGTGAGCTTTAGAGGTGGCAGCATTTTGTTTTGTTTTTGTTAAGCCAGCTGTTCCCACTGGTTTCCAGTCTTTAAGCTAAGTTGAGCTAATCGGTTGCTGGCTGTAGCTTGAACGGGTAGATGATAGAGTGATATCAATCACCTGATCTAACTTTTGGCAAGAGAGCATTATTGTGGCCGCGAACTCTAGTGGCTGTATAAATAGGCAGAAAGTCCACATAAGGATGTAGGATGGGGTGGTTGGACGGGTCAAACCCCAGACTTAACGCTCAGTCGAACAGTGTTCAAGTACCATGTCATGCCCTTTTCACAGCTTTTCAGATAGTTTGATTTGCTTTCCTATGCTGTTCATTCATTCATCATGCAACAATTCAAATTTGTCTTATGAACCATTGGAGGGATCCCTACGTCCCAGGTTGGGAATCACAGATTTAGGAGAATCATGTACAGGACGTTAATTCTTAATTTATTCATGCTGAGGTCTGTTCTGTTCAGGTGCAGCTCATAAACGATGCCTATAACCTAGTGATTGATGCCATGCTGGGGCCAGAGGCAGACTGTTCCAACATTAAGGAGCCCTACTCTGGTATTCTGGTCACCCTGAAGCAAGTCAAGACCCCCATTGCCAGTGTGGATGTGCCCTCAGGTAAATGTTCATACAAAGTGTAGGCATCAGGCTGGAGGCTCAGAAACACAACATGAAAAATGGGCCTCCAGGCAGCTTCCTAGGGGTCATGGCTCCCAGGCAGGAGTTTTCCACGTCTGGAGGCACACATGGAGGATAAATCTTATGCTACAGTGAGCTCAATGTGATCTCATCATACCCTGCTGCATACCTGCTCAGTGTGAGCACAACAGGCAGAAAATGATTACAATCCTGCCGTACCATAAATACCTCTTTTTCTCTCCCTCTGTTCTGTCTTCCTCAGGTTGGGACGTAGAAGAACCAAGTCAGGATGGGATTAACCCAGATGTTCTCATCTCCCTTACAGCACCAAAGAAGTGCGCCATGAGTTTCTCAGGGAAGCATTTCTTGGCCGGACGCTTCCTGCCCTATGACATCCAGAAAAAATACGAGCTTAACCTCCCAGACTACCCTGGCACAGACTGTCTCATAGAATTGTAACACATGGCAAACATAAGAGCCAGTGTGACCACACCTCATTTTCAACAATGTACGGTTAATCTTTTCTCTTGTTTTATATTTTATAGATTGTTAATGTGATTTAATGTTAACATCTCAGTTGTGTAGATCAGGCTACACCTTATAGCCATATGTGCTGTTGAGCTACAGTAGAAGGATATTTAGAAACTGTGGTTTGAGTCGTGTCTGTTTAGGGAATGGCATGAGGAGTTTTTGTGTCAGTCTACTTGTAAAAGCTGTAGCATTACACTGTTTTCTGATTACTTCGCAAAAAAATGAAATTTCTTTTTCCACAGTCAGCAAAGAGAGGTGAATTTTCTATGACACCAACCACAGGAATGTGTTTTTTTTCTTCAAATCTTTTTTGATGTTCATGACCTGATGCTCTTATGTTTGACTTTCTACTGAAGTGTGCTGCTGAGATGAGTTAGTGTAGGTTGGCAATTTTGAATTTTCTTTTTATGTGTTTTTGGTTTGTTTGGTCAGCCTGCACTTCTGCATTACTTTTATTTCAGTGACTTTATTAGCTGTTACAAAAGGCCCAGAAGGTCCTCGTCCAATAAAAAAGTTCCTTTTAAAGGATGGTTCAGTCTCTGGTGTTTTGTTTTCCTTCAACTAAAGCGGCACTGATCAATATATTTTATATCAACAATGAATAATAAATTGACTACATTTGATGATGGGAAAGGGGGTCGCTCGATGTGACAAACCCACCAAGAATTACAGACCAACTCTGCAGTTTTCATGGAGGCTTTTAGCCTGTTTTGGATCATTGTTTTGGTTTTATGGCCTGCATCTCTGCTCTCATAAACCATGTGTACAGTTGCAGCAGTCGAGTTATCGACTAGTGTGTGTATACAAAAACACGACTTCAAATGAATGCTAATGTTGCTCAGTGTCTTTTGGATGTATAATTAGGCAACTACTTGCTTACATGTTCACCAACACCTTTATTAGGTGTTAGTTATGTTTCCATCTTGTTCCACTGCCCCCAAGTTGACATTTCTCTCACATTATTTTAGCTGATATAGTGCTACCATACATGTCAACAATATTATTTTATTGTTAATTTTTTTTTATATTCAAAGCTAGAGTTAAAATCCTCTGGAGCTGGTATTGGCAGTTTTTCTTGGGTGCCCGTTTTAGCAGCAGGGTGCAGCTGCTTGCTAATTCAGGCCTTGAACACAGCTCAGTCTGTTAAATGACGGTCAGTAATCACAAGGCCGCCTTGTGTTGCACATCACATGAAATTGGCGTTGTGCTCCTTAAATGAGCACACACTGTTACTTCTGCTTATTGGTTCCCAACTGGATTTGATTTGGTAATGAGAGCCATAAACAGGTGTGATCGGGCTATAATCGGCTGTAGAGGAAGGTCTCTCATTATTGAGCTCAGGGTTTCAGGCTTCAATGAGAATGACTAAGTGAGACTGCTGTGTTTATGGATGAGGTAATGCGTATTTATATGAAGCACAGGAGCTTCTTCTGAATCCTAATGCACTAATGCCCGGTGTGGGCGCACATGTGTGAGTGGGTGTAGAAAGTCAGTGAAAAGGAATGTCGATCCGTTTTTTCACTTGGTGGTATTAAATCTGTCAGAGGCACACTGACGAGAGATGTAGAAATATGTCTGAGCGCTCAGCAGTCCTGTCTTTCATGCCTGTCTAATCCCTGTCCAATCCCTGTCAGGAAACAACGACTTGTCACCACTCTGTCGTTTGTGCTTTTCATGAGAGCAGTTGAGTAATGAGCTTTGGAGTTACGGTGGCCTGGACAATTGAACAATCATAAGTGACAGTGGTACTTGTTGTAAAATCCAGTGAGAGATAGACTTAGGAAGAAAGATTAATCCAGTGCTCACACTTACCTTTTTACTGTGATGAATATTGGTTTTAAAAATAAACAATCATTGTATGTTTAATCTTCGAGAACTGTTTTGTAAACCAAATGTTTAGGTTATCTACTTTCCATACTTAAGAGTTGACATTTGTTCATTCATCATCAACACAAGGCTGCACAATGAAATTAAAATTGTAGCCCCTTTCATGCTACACACACAGAACACACACACAAATATTTAAAATTTGAATAGAATAAAAATAAAATAATGCTATCATTTTATTTTTATAATTGATTTATTGTTTATCGGGACAAGTAAATCCTGATAGCATACCGGTGGGCCCGGGTTTGTTAGGAGTCATTCCTAAATTACCTGTTGCTAGATGGGCCTTTAAACAAGAACACACTATGGGGAAACATAGATAAACACAAAACACAAACATTAATGCAATAAAACACAGTGAAAACATCATGAACAGATAATCACACAATGTCTGAAAGCTATTTCAACATGAGTTTAAAATGATTCTATTTATAATCAGGAGTTCTGTGAGTCTGCATATTGATCCTCTTAAGAGAGAAAGAAAGTCTGTCCAAAGAAGGTTTTACCTTCTTTAGGCAGACACTAAGCACCTCACAGGAGCCTGGTTATGTAGGCATGTATGAATAAAGTATTATTAATTTTGACAGTCCTCCGCTTAAGTAAAAGTACCAGTACAACAGTCTAAAAATTCTACATTACAAGTACAAATCCTGCATTTAAGTGAAAGTACAGAAATATTATCCCCTGCTGACACATACTAAAAATTAATCAACTTTATTGGCCACATACAATTTATACACAGTACAATGCATGCAGAATTTTTTCTCTGCAATTAATCCATCTTAATTGGGAGCAGTGGGCAGCCATCATGCAGCGCCTGGGGAGCAGCTGAGCGTTCTGAGCTAATGTCGCCCACTAAATGCTGAGGTAATGTTACTGACTAAATAGTATGTGTTGTCTGTATATCTTGTCAAATAAACACAGAAAACACAACAATGCGTTGACATCATAAATGTACTTCTGAATACTTAAGTATTTTTAAAAGCACGTACCCCAGCACTTTTACTTAAGTAAAAATGTGACTGAACAACTTGTATATGAGTAATATTTGACAAGGAGTATCTATACTTTCACTCAAGTCTAGAGTTGTGTACTTCCATCTCTGTATATTATTAGATATGACATTTTTATATTTTTAATACTGATGCATTAATGTTAGAGCAGCATTTACTATTTACTGTAGCTGCTTGAGGTAGAGCTAGTTTAGTAGTTTAGTCATCAGATAAATCAGATGAGACAGGAAAAAAGAAAGAAAAGTTCTGCAACATAAATTTATATCTATATTTTTGACTTTTCACAAATATTTTTCTTCTGAAATAATGGATAATTTTATCACTTCGGGCTGGAAATGTTTTGATGTGCTGTGTAGGTATAGTAGTCAACGTTAATTGGAAAAATAACCAGTAACTATAAATTACTAATAATGTAGTGGAGTCAAAATTACAGTATTTCCCTCTGAAATGTAGTAGTAGAAGTACAACACAACATAAAATGGATATACTCAAGTACACCTTAATTAATAAGTATTAAGTAAATGTTCTTAGTTACTTTCCACCACTGAATTGTAAACTCATTGTCAGGGATTGAGTGATAAAATCCTGGACTTATTTTCATCCTTGTCCCACCAACCTTTATCAAGATGGAGACAGGCATTCAGTGTGGGACTTATGTAAATGTACTTGAATATGTGATTTTTTTTCAAGAGGGGCATTTATTTTGAAAAGAAATTCTTTCAAAATTTGTTGTACACCTTGTAAAAGAGTTAAATGAACGTTCTTAATTTTCTTTTACAAGTGTTGTTGCTGAATTGCAACAAGTGACCTGCTGCAAATGACCCAGAGTACATTGCACCTCATAAGCACGTCTCATGTCTGCGTCCTGAGGAGTTTTTCCTGAATGGCATGCTATATGACGCCACTTCCACTATTTGGCAGTGCATCACCCCGCAATCAGCAACTGTTAAAAAGTTACAAAACTGAACCAGAAGTTGAACCAGAGGCAGAGCAGCATCTGGCACTGTCCTGTATCTGGAGAGACAGATAAAAAAAGAGTGAGGCAGAGAAAAACAGACGGGGGGCAAATGAAGGACATGACATTTTACAGAACACGACTAAAACGGCTTCTCTTAATTAACACAGAATAAAACAAGAGATTTTTCCAACCAGTTTCCTACATATTACATGTTAAAAGTGCAAATGAAATATAATAAGTTTTGTTATAAGAAACAAAAATAAAATAGGTTTCTCAAGCACACCAATATGCTATTCTGTACTTGCAGGCACACACCTGCTCTGTGTATAAACTACACTGGAGAAACGGAGGTCTACAAATCAAAGAAAAATGAAAATATTGTTGCAAAAAAGTCTGAACTTATGAGATCGTGGTTAGACAAACAGGTTAACACCTTTTTATTTTTAGTAATAGCAACCTCCCCCTCCCACACACACTCCCTACCTCTCTTGTTTTCTGTGACCGTCTCTCTCTCTCTCTACCCCCACCATACCCCTCACCTTTTTTTGGAAGATGATATGGGGGACCCAGATGTTACATTTCACTGGCCAATGGTGAGCAGAGAGGGGCTGGATTGGTGTGCACTCCCAATGCCCCTTCTTTTTAAAAACGCCTGAGCTCCTGTCTCCAGCTCAGCAACTCAACTCACATGAGAGAAAGAGCAGCAGCGAGGCTCTGCTCGACCAGCGGCATCACACACACCTGAGAAACTGAAGCAGCAACTCTCAGCTGCATCTGCAAGCTGAAGAACCAAACTTTTCCCCCTATGTCTGTAGAGGATCAGAGAAAAACAAAAATCCCCTGTAACTGAAGTTGTGGTACCATGTTGGAATTAAATAAGGTGGCACTCCTGCTGTCGTTCCTGGCTTCACTGGCTCTGGGCCAAGGTAAGTGAAGACTGAAAATTCAACTGTTATTATTTCAATTGTCCAAAACAGGAAATTCATGGGATATTACTGTAGATGCAGAGTTTCCAGCTAAATGAAAGACATAGATTTTAAGATAAATTTAGTTTTGAATTGAACTATTTTTCATCTCCCTTGTCATTATTAGTAATCACATACTCTAAGAGCAGAGGGCCAGTGCATGACTACTCACACATTGCACTACAACTGACATAACTGTGGTGTTTTCTAAGTTGGCGACTTTTCCCTGAAGATGTCAGAGCAGGAGACATTTCTGGTGAAATGTCTGGTGGTGAGCTCATGTGATAAGGGTGTGTCTGTGTGTGTTATTTTATACACCACCTCAGTAGTTCTTAATCTCTAATGTTAAGTCCCCAGCATGCTTCACAACCGGGCTAATCAACAACACGTGGTGATAGAAGAGGAGGTTAAGAGGAGACGTGAACACACAGTGGAAACTCCAGTTTAATCACAGTAAAAAAGCTCTGTTGATGACTGTAAATGTGCTGCTGGTGACACAAAAGGTTCTGGTGGCACACGCTTTGTATTCATAATGACAAACTGTACTACAGTAACTGCCAATCAGAGGCCTGCTTTTGAGAAAAATGCAACGCAGCCATAGTGCTCCACTGTATTTTTATGATCTCTCAAAAAGCCAATTGAAGCATACTTTGTTAATACCAGCTGCTCAGTTGAATTCACTTTCTTTACCGTAGTGAACAGTTAGCTACATACACGTATAATGTTCTGCCTTTTCCAGATCACAAGGTTATCCCACAAAAGTCTTACTCTTATCATCCTTTGAACGCTCGCCGCTCTTTTCTGAATGACACCAGTAGCAGCGCTTTTTTCCAAAGCTGTCATTTTCTGTCCAGCTTACAGCTGCTCCCCATTAACGGGACTTGGCGTTTCATAAAAGCAAACGACACCTTAATAGTCTCCATATCTTGTTGGACTTGGAGGCCTTTAGCATTGTAAATGTCTTGCATCGGCTTTGCGCCTTTGACTGATGAGTATATCGGAGACAGTTAGGCGAGGGAAAAAGGTAAATGTATAAACGGTGATTCAGATTGACTCTCAGTGAACTGAACGCTGTGTTATAGCTGTGAGTGAATGCCGACCTTAAAACGGATTGTAAAATTTTACATTCTGTGCCACGCTCCTTTAGTAGTACATCCACATGTTGCAGTAAGGTGGGGCAGTTTTGTCCTTATTTCACCCTCAAGCGCAGTGCCAGCGCTCCCTAATGATATAAACCCAGTCACCTTGGAAACAAGAAGGAATAATCACAAACCAAGTGACCCACTTTTCCACCTGCTGGGTTGGAGCTGGGCTGCATGACAGAATGGAAAAAAAGGAGGGATAAAGAGCACAGGTAAAATGACTTTATTGTCCTATTTTCCTGTCAGATTGGCCAAACTCTCAAGCCCCCCTCGATGCGTTCAGTCCACCAATAAAGAAATTACTTTATGTCTCCATCTGTCCATTTGTCTTCATCTGCTCACCTTTTGTTTCAAACGTGTCTCCCTCAGGTATTTCTTCATAAATACTTTCCCCACCTTTCTCCCATCTGTCTCTCCCTCGCTCCATCACACTCCCTCCTTCGCCTTTCTCCACCTATTTCTCTCTGCCCTGCTCCATCAAACGCTCCCTCCTCGCCTCGCTCTCTGTCACTCTCTCCACAGGCCTTAGAGCTTACAGGTTTTATGAGCTGTTCTCCTATTTGAAGGCGTCAGCTGTTGCTGAATGCCCACTGTAACTCAGAGGGGGACACTGTGGCATTACCACCTCTAAGTCTTGCTTTCAGCTCCAAGGATTTTTTCATCTTACTGTAATCTGTCCTGTCTAACCATACCAGAGGAGTTCCAATCTTCTCCAATTGTCAGTCAAAGCTAGTTCTCATTAAAGTCAGCTGGGCAGGCTGACCACTGTCAGCATCTGGAGCTGACAGTGATTCAAATGGATGAAAGGAAAAGGCGTAAATTCCCATTAATGAAAACCTCTAAGCCATATCACATCTTTCTTTTCTTCTGTGTACATGGTCGCGTGGATGTGCCAAGATGTTATTTATTGCAGGACTAATCAGCTGCTTTCTACTGAGCTATTTCCAGCTCTTCCTGGCTCTGTACCTGTACACAGGTGCAGAGGTTCCTGCAAGCAGAAATTCTACACTGCCCAATTGTGTTTTTAATGGTATCGGGGAGAAAAGTAAATCCTAAAATCATATGTTCATGATTTATGGTTTATGTCAGGGACATAATTGCTGATTTTAATGAGCTACAGATGTTTGAGGAATCAGATGAGGATTTTTGCGAAGAAGGAACATCGGGGTAAAGAGAGAGATAGATGCAGAGACAAAAAGCAGACTCCTCTGCAGCCGCACACACCTCAGCTAGCCAAACACATAAACAGCTTCCATATGACAAACAGATCACATACACAGGCCCCCCCCCCCACACACCTACTCACACACTCACATCACTGAATTCATATACCTCTATATAAGACTAGACTTCTTCGACAAATACACTACAACCTCGTTCTCTTAGTGAGCTTAACTTTGTCCAATAGGTTACATAACGTGGGAGGTTCACGTCTTCTCCTTCTTGTAAGGATCTGGAATATTATTATTAACAGGATCCAGACCTTCTATTTAAGCCCTGTTTCTCTGCCAACATACATCTGGCACAACCACACCTCTCTAATCCGACTGAAACCATTCTGGGTGCAACATCATAAAGTCCTGCATTTTCCCCACTCTCGGACTCTTCAGCAGCTTTTTTATTAGATCCTGGCGAAGGCAGAAAGCTCCCACTCAGAGAGTGAAGCAGAGTGAGGCGGTCCTTTTCAAAGCCACTGGTGATGATTAATAGAGGATTTGCCTTTGTGTAGCCTGGCTGCAAGTACACCGGCTGTATTTCAGAACAAACCCCTGTGACGTAAATCATTAAATCCAAAGATAGTCCTCTAAAATAGGAATTGCAGTTGTCACAGCAGAGTCAGAGAGGGGAAGATGACAATGGCTGCAGCGTGAGATAAAAAATAATCCAGTAGCTATGTTTCCGACATGTTTCCGACATAGTCTGGCATTCAGGTGCTTGGCATACGGCTATATGTGGAACTGAGATGCAAAGCAACCCACAGATGCAGGTCTCCTCTAATATACTGGTCACACTATAACGTATCTTGTTACCTTGTTGAGGGTTTACAAGGGTTACGCCGAGGCTGGCTGAGGTTTATAATAACTGTCACATGGCAGGGCTCATGTCAAAGGAGAAACTGCAAGATACATCATTACTACACCATTAATTTAACGGAACACAAAACCTAGCAAACAAAGGCGAGACCATCCTGCTGCGAAACAGCATCAGTCGTGTTAGCAAGTGTCCCAAAACATCTGTTTATGTTCAAGTGACAAAGCCCTCTAGTGGCTGTAGTAATTGTGACAGAAGAAGACGAGGAAATCTTTGTTTGTCCATGCCCTCTAGAACGACACATTGAAACATTTTGTAATCTGACACCCCTGTCGGCAAGACAGCATCATATCTTTGTTCTCTCAAAAACTGTCAGTCACTGGTGCACAATAAATACATTTTGTGACGTGACGATGCCAAGTATTTATTTTAATGAATTCAAAAATCAAACAAAATAAGACCCACACAGAGCACAAGATCAAGGACAAACAAAAAAAAATTTTTTGCACTAAAGAGGAAATCATAACTTCTAACCTTGCTCCCTCTGGCTTGAAAGATGTGTGTTACTTGCTTCTTGATGAAGGCAATTCCCTCACATACCAGCCGTATGAAGCAGTGCCCCAATAAAATCTCCCGGCTTTTAAAATTCATAAAGTGTTAACATGACTCTCAAAAGCACAATAAGCTCTGTGAGTCTGCCATGGAAACCGGGCCAGTTCATACCTGCCATAACTGAGGTCGCCACACTATCATTTGGCTTCCTGCTGCTGAAGCTAATCTGTGTTTCTTCTTTTAACTTTCTAAAACCATTAGTCACCTCATAAAACTCCAAGAACTGTTTGCTATTTTGTTTTCATTATCAAACATCTTGAAATGATAATCAGGAGCCAAATGGTTCTACTGTGAATTTCCTTTGTTTTGGTGAGAGCCAGGAAGAAATGTTACGTAACAAGAGCAGGAAACCTGCTTTATAATTTATTGGAAATAAATGGATGCACTTCAGAGTGGGGAGGGTAATTAATTATCCACAAGTTTGGATGTCACTGTTAATAAAGGGGAATGAAAGGGTTGTTTGTGACCCCTCAACATATACTTTCCCAAGAAAATGTTTTAAAAGTTCTCGGACTGAACCTTAGTGTACGCTAACCAAAACACTAACAGTGATATTCTGCCCAGTGGAAGAAACACAGTCTTTTAAATGCTTTTAAAATGTAATCAGGACAGACAATGAATTCAGGAGAAAAAGGAGAAGGGTGGAAAAACTATTTGATTTACTAAACTAAACCTGTGAGCGCAACCACATCTGCCCTGCAGATCAGTGTGAAAGCATTTGCTTCTGTTTATTCAGCAGTTCCAGTGTTCAGAGAGACAAAGCCATATGGAAACCTATCAATGGTTTCTAAAGCCAGGGGGCATAAAAAATACACCAACCCTCCACATCAGCTGACTGTCTATGTTACCCTAAAACTTATGTAATACATTTCTGGACAGATGATCTTTGTTCTGTTGAGCTAATATCCGTCTTTGCTAAATGTATCAAAAAACGTTAAGGGTTGAAAAGAAATGTTCTGGCATGGCAATAAAGACTTGAAGTGAGCTGTAAAACCAGTGGGGACTGGGATCGATACTGGCCTCTGTGCTGGGAGGCTTTGCCCGTAAACTCAGCAGTGTCTCTCCCAAAGTGCTAAGTAGTTGCACATATTGCACACCCACACAGATTGTATAATTTCTTAAGCTACTTTTTGTTTCTGTCACGCACTGTGACATTTATGTTTTTTTCCGCCCAGCTGAAATGTCAAGCAAACAACTGACGTTTTTGCAAACATAAAGAATTAGTTCAGTAGGAAAATGAGGCATTACACTTCAAAGCGGAGAGGGGAAAGAGGGGAAAACGTGCCATGGTGCATGTTTAATAAATCAAAGAGCCAAATGTACAATGAATGCCAAGTTGAATATCTTTCTCTTTCTAATAAGGCAACATTTGGTTTCATCCTATCCTCACTGTTGTGCTGTTGTGAGTGTGAGCACATTTGTGAAAAATGATGATGATGTAAGAATGACTCAGTGATGCAGGCTATATGTGTCTGCATGCTATATGTTTGCATTATAATCATATATCATTAAGTTAAACAAAAAATGCTGCTTAAAAGTTGTGTGTTTGTGTGTGTGTGTGTGCGAGGTGATGAAGCAGGTTAAAGTGACGTTTTCTGGCTCGGCCACCGGTTAACAGATGACTCCGAACGCACTGATTTGTCACAGCTAGAGCTTGATTAGCATCCTTAACAGGATCGAGAGGAGTAAGGAGGACTGGAGGAGGACAAGCAGAGGAGGGGTGGGGCAACAAGCTGACAAATGAAAAGATGTATGACAAAAGAGCATGGGGGAGATGATGGATAGACAGGATGCTCCACAGTTTGGATGTCGACGAAGCAGGAGGAGCAGCAGTGACAAACATCTACAGAAAAGAGGAGGAGAGGGCAAGTAGAAAGACAAGCAGATGGAAGTACAGAAATTAGACAGACAAAAGCTTTGTAGTAGGCCCAGAAGCCTAGTCATTGTTTCAGCACATAAAAAGGACAGAAGGCCTGTGGCTCGAATGAGTGAAGTGGCAGAGGGAAGGTGTGCAATCAGAAGAGCGTGCCCAGACTGCATCACACATCAATGTGTGTGTGAGAGTGTGTGTGCACATGACTGTGTGGATGTGCACACAAATATTGGAATAATTTGCTGTGAAACATAATGCACTGTACAGCAGAGCTACATGTTTTCTAAAGTACATGTTTTCGTGACTTGATGGACTTTATTTTGCTGCATGTGCTTTTGTTTTCAGTTTTGGTGCTAACAAGAACCTCACTCACATACACACCGGACATATGTATTATTAGCATCATGTTGAACCAACCAAACCAAAAACTTCTGAGGGAAATGCATAACTATAAGTATATAAGCTGTTGCACTGAATAGTCTATGACCTTGTTGCTTTATATCCAGATGTTTTTCTCGCTGTTTGCAGGATCTGTGAGGACCAGGAGTCTGTCAGACCGAAGCAGGAGAGTGGCCCTCAACACGTTCACTGACGCACAGACAACAGGTACTGAATCCATCTGCAGTGATATTCACGGCTGATTGTATGGCAGGGGTTTTGAAGCTGTGAGTTGAAGGGGAGGCGCTAAGGGAGAGACGTGAGGCGAAGATACACTGTGTCAGATGAAAGGGACTGGTGTATGCTGGTGTTCTAAAAACAACAATAGAAAACACATAACTGCAGATCTAGTGTCAAATGGTTATACTATCACACTTACTTGGTGATATAGTATTTGTGTTACTGACACATAGCTGAAATGTGTGTGGTTGTTGTTGGTATTTTTTATTTTTTTTAGCATACTAAGTTCTGAATTCTGTCTGGCAGCATCTTGTGTGCTTTGATAGGACAACCACAGACAACGGAAATTAGAATTAAGTGTCTTGTCAACTTGAAAAGCTGAGGTTTGGATGACTTAACATCCATCTTTTAACTAAGCAAAAGAGCTCCAGTATTAGTCTGTATCCAGGGTGTTGCAACACAGATGCCTCTTATCACCTCAGTACACCCCGCAGCCAACCAAAGACCGACCAAACCATTATTTACTATAGCAGTGCTTTACTTTGGGAACGAAATAAATCATCAGTTTGTTGCTAATTCATTCTTTTGTTTTTAATCCATCATATTTCTCCTGAGGAAATGCTCAGGTTTCAGAACATGCAGCAGACTAAAAAACTAGACAATATGCCTCATCAGCCAAGCCAGGGGGCTTGGAAAGAGCCTGGACAATGCAAAGCTCCCTGGGGGGTATGAAGTCAGTTTCAAATGGCAGTAGCAGACCTCTAAAAATTATTAACCCCTCCCTGCAGATTTCCTCTTGCTTTTTCTTGGTTCTGACCCATGTCTCCCCTCCACGTAAAATCAGCTCCAACCCCCTCAACCCCCCCCCTTCCTTATTTCTGGATCATGAGCTGAATTGTTTTCTTTCTTTCTGACTTTGTTTTTCCAGTCTAACCCTCTATTCTTTTGGTTTTCTTACACTCCCCTCCATGTGCCTCCAGGCGTGACAGAGTGGACTTCTTGGTTCAATATTGACCATCCTGGAGGGAATGGAGACTATGAGCGCCTGGAAGCAATCCGTTTCTATTACAGGGAAAGAGTTTGTGCACGGCCCATGGCCATGGAGGCTCGCACTACAGACTGGGTGGCAGCGGCAGACACCGGAGAAGTTGTCCACTCCAGTCTGGAGAAGGGCTTCTGGTGCATCAACAAGGAACAGCCCCAAGGCCGCATCTGCTCCAACTACCATGTCCGCTTTCAGTGTCCCCCAGGTAGCTCAGGGCAGTACAAGCTGTCACTTCACAGATATGAACATTCACCCAAACACATAAATGAATACACATTTTCACATGCATGCATGTGAGCACTGCTTTGGGGAGGAATTATCCATGCTCTTACTCCTGTCTGCCATGTTAAATAAAGTGTTATTTCCTGTTCCTGATTCAGCTTGCCAACAGCAGCACGTAATGCCAGCTTTGCTCAGGATGTCACACTCTGTTCTTCAATGTGTGTGTTCAGTGCAGAGCTACTGGACTGACTGGAGTGAGTGGGGTCCCTGTTCCACCACGGCTTGTGATGACGTAGGCATCCAGGTCCGCCAGAGGAAATGTGTGAATACCCAGCCACTGCCTCTCCTGTTGGTGCCAGCGTGTCAGGGGCACCATTCAGAAAGGAGGGAATGTTCCACCCCTCCATGTACAGGTGAGAATCACAAGATTTACCAGCACCTAACGTGTGCTAGTACCTTAACTTAAAATAACAACCAGTTAGGTGCAATGGTGGGTAAGGTAGTCATCCTTCAAACAAAGGGCATGGTTCAAGGTCCCATGTGAGCAAGCATCTTTGCAGCTGGAGCAAATCTTCAGAGTTAACTGACTGTACTGAACCATCATTGTCACTGCTGTAATCAGTAGCTTTCAGCAGTGGAGCTCCTCAGCACCGTTGTCCGCTCAGCTGTGATACACAGTATGTTCCTTGTTTAAAGCCTATTAAAACACCACAAAACCAACAGATACATGTCACAGAAACAAAAGCGATAACTCTGGTGCAAATAGTATGCCTACTTGTGTGAAATACAGAGATGAATTTACTATGGCTGAGATTGTTCTATGACAATTTGTCTATTTGACAAAAGAGCTTTTAAACCTGTATTTTTTAAACCTGAGCCCTATTTTCACATATTTTGGGGTCGAAAAGACTTTTTGGGAGTAAATGGCTTCAGTCAGCAGCTATGAAGTGGCTGCACTGGCTGCAATATATTCCTTTGGGGCAATTGTTGACAAGACCTTATTTCTGTTACTCCAACACAACAAACTCCTATCTCCAACTCTGACAGCAACAACTCGCCTCTCACAAGATTACAGAGCGAGAACTGTCCTTGAGCAAGACTTCTCCAGGAGTCACTCGTAGGGATCCTTTAAATGACGTTGTCAGACACCTGATATAACTGTCTGAGTCTGTCGGGGGAAAAAAGAAGCACTTTTTGGGGACATCATTTGCCCCAAAAGAATATGCTGCAGCCGCTACTGCATAGATTCCAAAACTATTTGTACCTACTAGTCATTTTGATCCCAAAATATGTGAAAATAGGGCCCAGGTTTAAAAATACTGAAATGATCCTTTAACAATCTATCTCTAACTAACTCTATATAAATTTTGAATGACCAATGTAACCGAAAATATTATTATATATTACTCACATAATTCCTTCTGTCTTTCTGTGTGATCAGCCAAGTGGAGTCAATGGGGTCGGTGGGGGACTTGTTCGGTGACCTGTGGTGGAGGTCGCAGGATTAGGAGGAGGACCTGTGTGAGGACCTCTGTGACAGTTCAGTGTACTGGACGGCCTGTTGAAATACAGAAGTGTGGGAAAAGTTCATGCCCAGGTATGCTGAGTCTATGTTGCAAAAGTCATACTGTCTTTCTTTAAAGGTTAAGTGTGTAAGTTTTAGTGACATCTAGTGGTGAGGGTAACAAATTGCAACAAATTACAACAAACTCCTCACTAACCCCCACCCCCCTTTCCAAGCGCGTAGGATAGCTACAGTGGCCAACACAGGACAAAAGTTGTCGTAGTCTGAGACAGCAGAGAGTAGCCAGTTAAGAAATTAGGTTTCTTTAGATAAATATATTAAGAAATTATATTTACTTAATTATTCAGTAAAATAATATGTTATTGCAAATATTATTACTTTTCTTGTTACTTCAATAACAATATTTTAGGTGTTACATGATGTCGCATACTCCTGTAATAGATTATTTTACAGTAAACATACATTTTGTTACATCTTGGGAGGGTTGGCTCAGCTGGACTAAGATTAGTTTACAAAGGCATTGTCAGGTGAGGATCATGGCTCCTCTCCACTTTGTTCAATAAGATAGGCAATCAGCAAATCTTACCAAAAAATTTCTTTTTTCAAAATACAACAAAAACACAAAGTATATACTAATAGAAAAAAAAAAAAGGAAACTATCCATAATTTTAGCTTGTGGTAAAACAGTGCAACGTTTTTAATGGGCATTTACCCTGTGATTGATCAAATTACATCTTTGTGTGCACAGAAGCTAAGCATTGCCTACAAACAAATACGTTTTGTTTTTTTGTTGCAAATTCTGAAAGTAAGCATTATTGTCCACTTGATAGGCACACTGTCTAATTATCGTAACATTGTTAGTAGTAAAAATAAATACAGTTTTTCTACCAGGGGAGTAAAATGTGAGCCTCCATGCTGTACAGTTTTATTGCCAATTGATTGAATGATTGTCTTACAAACATAACTGACACATTTCTGTCCATGTAGCAAAGCCAAAACAGAGCGCTGGAGAATAACGTTACATGAAATTACAATCCAACTACGTATTTTACACCACTGACAAGAGAAACACGTTACTTCTCTCTGTGATTATGCCCATCTTAGCTAAAGATTTCAAACAACAGTTTTCATTTCGACTAACTTAATTGCCTGTCCAGCAGAAAACAGGCAAATTCAGCGCCACTTTGAAAACATCTGGATTACATCAGTGCCTTCTATCTGTGAAAATCCACAATGATTATATCCTTGATTTCTGCAGTCATTTGTCCACACCTGTCCCGACTTCGTCTGGCTTCATCATGTTTTCATTTCTTTGACGACAAAAATTCACGCTCCGCTCGTGCTAAATGTGGTCCTCCATTTGTCCAAATTTCACTTCACTTCTTACTTCTAATATATCAGTAAATTATTATTATTATTTTCTTCTTCTTCTTCTTCTTTGTATTCATTTAACTTAGTGACAAGCTTCTCCACTGCTGGAATAATACATGAAGAAGAAGAAAAACGTAGTGACGAAACACACTCTGTAGAGTAGTTTGTCCATTTTTGGCTACTGTAGAAACATGGCGGCGCAACATGGCGACCTCCATTCTATCTACATATGTAGATAGAAATGGCTCATTCTAAGGTAATAGAAACATTAATGGTTCATTATGTAAGGTCTTTATACACTGAAAACATAGTTATGGATCTTACTGTATATTGCATTTCTGTCAATAGATCATCTGAAATATTACATACTGAAACTTTAAATTGGTGTCTTTATTGGTATGTGCTCGTGTCTCTTTCTCCAAACAGCCAAATGCCAGCGTGTGTGCACCGAGGGTCATCCCAGTGAGGACTGCAGCCGCTGTGTGTGTGACAGCCACGTGCTGCATGGAGAAGTCCACACTGTGACTGGTGTGCCGGTGGCAGGAGCCTGGATGGCACTAGCCAGCCAGCCTAAGATGATTCGTGCCCGTACAGATGCCAAAGGTCAGTTCAGGCTCATAGGAGTCTGCTCCTCCAGCTCGACCTTGATCTCCATTAGGAAGGAGAAGTTCACCCCAATCAATGTCTCCACCTCCAGTAACACCACAGGGTTATCTTGGGTACGCGCTGTCCTCAAATCAGCCGGTGAGTGCTAATACAAAAAGTTCTTAATAAAAAAGTTCAAGCATTCAAGTGTTTGTTGCTTTCAATCCAACCAAACACAAAGCAAGTTCATGGTATAATTTAGTATTAATTGAACATATCATTGGTTATTAAAATAGCTAGTTTCATAAGTAAGAGTTTCCTGATTCTCATTATAATCATTCCACAGAGGCAGTAAATCCTCCAATCATATTCTCAGCTTTAAAAAAAATGGAAATTGACAAAACTACAACATAAACAGTTTGACCTATTGTAAGACTAAACATCGACTGGAAAAGTTACTTGGTTGCATGGAAACCAAATAAAAATAGGGCTATGCTGCTTTTGAAAGAGTAATTCCCTCAACAATAATTTTTCATAAGCACAGAGACCAATGCGATAATAAAGTGTAATGTTTGACTGAGTTTTATGAGCTCTCAAAGCTCTGAGCACCATTTACAACAGTCAGAGTAAGGTCTTGAGGGTTTGCTCCTTTCTGCTTTCCACAGAAAAGCCATACATTGTGAAACACCCGGAGGACAAAGTGCGTTATGAAGGAGGACGGGTGCTGTTTTGCTGCAAGGCAACAGGATCACCAGCACCTGACAAATACTACTGGTGAGACGACTACCAGGGCGGGAACATTACAACACACAGAAACAGCTAGCATCAGAGTGATTACTTTTACATATTAGGAAAATTATATTTGGAGGTCCCTAAATGTTAAATTTCCCTTGTACCAAGATATATACTTATTTTTATTATTAAAGCAGCATTAATCACTTACTTTTCACACTATTTTGGTTTCCAACCGGTCCTGAGAAAATATCTGTCTCTTTAGCTGCTAATTACTCCACTTTATAAACCAGTTAGTAGCTTACTTCCCTCTACTGTTTGGTGCCGGGCAGGTAGTATACAGTGGGTTTATTAGAACTTTATTTGCTGAAAACATCTGCCTGCTGCGGCTGAAAAACAACGCTGATGAGAGTGGTGAGACTGAGACAAAACTGTATAGTTGCGGCCTGGAAAACCAAATCAATGTTCGAGAATGATGCTAAAGCACTCTGTACAACTTCTTCTCAGTGGGTTCATCACTACACGCAACCCCTTTCACATTACACAGTGCTGCTTCAAAAATCAAAACTAAATTTTTAAAAGAAAGCACATAGTTATAAATAGTAAACTATTTTTTTTACCTTTCATTATACATTTTAATAAATTGTATATTGCTACCAACATTTAAAATTTTCATTTAAAAAATAATTCTATTTATTATATTATCTCTGAAACTATTTTTAAAGGTACCACAATGGGACTCTGCTGGACAGGAAGGTGTACAAGTATGAAGAGGACCTTATACTGCAGAACCTGAAACCGAAGCAGTCAGGACAGTACTATTGCAAAACCAGCAGCCCAGCAGGCAGCATCAAGTCCTCTCCAGCCTTACTCACTGTGATTGGTATGTGTAATCTCTTACTGAAAGCCACTATATATCAACATCAGTGTAAGATGTTTTCACATTCGCATAAACCCAGTCACATAAATAAAGATGCGGTTTGTATGACATTTATCTGCTGGTGCGACAGCAGCTTTGACGATACTAATGCTGTTCTCACCATCAAAAAGAAACAAAAACTCCCTTCTAGTTGATGACACAGTCATGTAAACTGTAATTCATCATCATCAGTCTGGAGAAAAAATAATTTACTATGATGATAGCAAGAGGCACACAGGGATTATAGCCCTGGATGGCTGCTATCCCAGTGCATTTGACAATGACGTATTTAGTTCTACACAGGTTTAAGAAAAACCACTGACAAAAAGCAAACAACCGCAATTCGGTTGACTGTATAAATAGCAGCTGCCTCAGAGATTGAATACACACTTTAAGAGGAATGTCAGTGCTAAGCTCCAACCAAGTCATCCATGAACCATGTCCATGCATTAACAGGATTCAAACAAAACCGCACTGTCCAATAACTGAAGGAGAGAGAAAAGTTAGACTATCTGTCATTGGAAAAAACTAATACATGAAAAGAAAATAGGAAAATAAAAATATCAGGGCTCGCACAATCTGGCTTCACTTGGAGCAGTATGTTTTTATTATGTTTACATTGGTTGAAGCTACGGTTTTTCAAAACTGGGATCCTTTATTGTGCGAGATGGCTCTGGACACTGTAAAACCTCAAACCCAATTCCTCCAGAACACCCAGTGTTGAAGTGAAATCCAACACTGTCAATAAATCCTGTCTCTTTTGTCTCTCAGACTCAACTATGTTTCCACATCCACATGGAAGAACTACACATTGCTTATATCCTTCAGGTGCTTGTTAGCTAAAACACAGATTAATGAACAGGGTTCAGGGTTTTCATGGAAGAGTGCAATAGCAGTCTGTCTCAGGCCACAGACAAATCCCCGCACTCCAAAAATAATTATGACACGAGAGACTCCTTCATCTCCTTCACCTCGACACAGTTTCTTCTCACATTTTACATTATGCAGAAGTTTAATTTAATTTCCAATTAAATGCATTCACCACAGGTCATACAAGTGACTAGAAGTAACTTAATTTATTATCAAAGGAAACTCAAAGCCCTCTTGGTAAAGCCATCAGCAGGACAGTAATGATATTTCTTATGCATCGCAGTTCTCCATGTCTCCATGTGTCTGCAATTTTCGACTTACTTGGGAGATGGGAGCTTAACAAGGACGCTTGACTTGACTATAAGCTCAACCATGATATCATGCACATTAACTATTCTGCCAATGTCTGGGTGAACAATAATTCTTTCTTTCCAACTCCCATCTGGATGGTTGGTAAATAAATGTTCTCTTCAATTCAATGTCTAATTACCCTTTCGTGCACATTTCATCGTCCAACTTGGCCACTCACATGTACTTTCAGACCATGAAAACGTGTGTGTGTGTGTGTGTGTGTGTGTGTGTGTGTGTGTGTATGAGCATAAATACGTACATTCTGTGTGTTTGTGTGCATCTATGTGTGAAAAAGGAAAGCAGAAATAATATATCTGAATACTTCACTTGCAAGTTCAAATTTATTCTCCATACACTTTGTCCTATTCCATTCATGCACTGATATACAATTACGCAGTACCTGACGTTTTTAAAATTAAAATCTAAAAGATCTGGCAGACTTTCAAGAGCAGGTAGGGTATTTTAGAGAAAGTAGAACTCCAACAGTAACGTTTTCAACATGGCAAGTCTGTGTTCATTTTAAAAACCAAAGCAGTGTCAAAATAACACTTCACAGCAGTCATTTTTGTACTTAATATTTTATGCACTATTTTTTGCACTGAGAAAAAGCCTTTCATGTGTCATGTACATAAGGTACCTTAATGTATCTTTTAAATGTGTCATATCACCACTAGTTTAATGTAATGTGTCATCTAATTCACAGCAAAAGGAACACCAGCATGCAATTCCACCCCTGAGGCGCACCTCATCAGACTGCCGATGGACTGTGTTCAACCCGGGACTGACTCCAAGTACTACAATGCTGGCCGCTGCACTCAAAATAAATGTGCTGGCTCCCTAGACTTTGATATGCGCTGCAGAGATGGAGCTGGGTTCTGCTGTGGTGTCCAAAATATGGAAAGTCGAATCATTGACTGTGGGACCTACAGTCTCCCTATCCGGGCTGTGACGCAGTGCAGCTGTCAGAGGTGTGTGCAGCCTACTGTGCTGGTTCGTGGCAGAGTGGTCACAGCTGACAATAATGAGCCTCTGCGTTTTGGGCACATCTACATTGGGAAAGAGAGAGTGGGCACCACTGGATACCAAGGAAGTTTCACATTACAAATTGCTCCTGATACACAGAGATTGGTGGTAAATTTTGTTGACCCCACTCAGAAGTTTCTTGACACTCCAAAGGTGTTCATCTTTGATAAGAAAAGTGGCTCCATCTACCATGATGTGAAGGTGATGAGAAAGCAGAAACCAATCGATATCAACGCAGGAGAGACCAATTCTATTAACCTAGGGGAGATTAAAGGGGAAGATCCCATTGGTCAGTTGGTTATTCCTCCCAACTCTTTCCACAAGGACAATGGAGAAATCTACGAGGGAACTGTGAAAGCCAGCGTCACATTTATTGACCCAAGAAATATCACCATGGCGGCTGCAACCCCAGGTGATCTCAACTTTGTAGACGATGAGGGTGACATGCTCCCTTTGAGGACCTATGGCATGTTCTCTGTGGACTTCAGAGATGAGACAAACAAGGAGGTACTTGGAGCTGGAGCTGTTCAAGTCCTTCTTGACACACAGCATGTCAAAATGCAAGAGCACATTCCCAAAATGAAACTGTGGTCTTTAAACCCAGACACAGGAGTTTGGGAAGAGGAGAGTGACTTCTCCTACACCACAACTACTGGTGGTCATGGGCGGAGCAAACGAGAGGAGCGCACATTCCTCATAGGCAACATGGAGATTAGAGAACGTAGGCTCTTCAATTTAGACGTGCCTGAAAACAGACGCTGCTACGTCAAGGTCCGTGCCTACATGAGTGACAAGTTCCTACCTAGTGAACAGCTGGAGGGTGTTGTGATCAGCTTGATAAACTTGGAACCCAAACCTGGTTATTCCTCTAATCCTAGGGCATGGGGGCGCTTTGACAGTGTCATAACTGGACCCAACGGAGCTTGTTTACCAGCTTTCTGTGATGCCCAAAGGCCTGATGCTTACACAGCTTATGTCACAGCAATGATGGGTGGGGAAGAACTGGAGGCAGCTCCCTCCTCCCCCAAAATGAATCCAAATATTATTGGAGTGTCTCAGCCATATCTAGATAAAATAGACTACCAGCGCTCAGACCATGAGGATCCAGCTCTGAAGAAAACAGCCTTCAGAATCAACTTGGCAAAGCCTAACCAAAATAATCTTGATGAGACCAATGGGCCGATATATCCGTATCAAAGTTTAATAGGTTGTGAAAATGCCCCTATCGATGCAAATCATTTTAGATTCTTCAGAGTAGAAAAAGACAAGTATGAATACAATGTTGTTCCCTTTGAGGAAAACGATTTGACCACCTGGACAGGAGACTACCTCTCCTGGTGGCCTAATCCCCAGGAGTTCAGAGCATGCTTTATTAAGGTCAAGATCCATGGACAGAAGGAAGTGATGGTCAGGTCAAGGAATCTGGGAGGAACACACAGAGAAACAAAAGGCAAATTATATGGCATAAGAGACATTCGCAGTACCCGGGACATGCGAGAGGCCAACACCTCAGCAGCCTGTGTAGAGTTCAAATGCAGTGGCATGTTGTTTGATCAAGCCGAGGTGGACAGATCCCTCATATCAGTCCTTCCACAGGGAAACTGTCGCAGGATTGGCACCAACAGTCTTCTACACGAGTATCTCATTAAACATCCACCAGTCGCTCAAAACAACGAGTCCTTTGCATTCACCATGCTAGCCCCTGTTGATCCTTTGGGACACAACTACGGCATCTATACAGTCACAGACCAGAATCCCAGGGTCGCCAAGGAAATTGCTATAGGGCGCTGCTTTGATGGCACCTCAGATGGTTTCTCCAGGGAGATGAAGTCAGACTCTGGAGTGGCGCTGACCTTCAGCTGTCCAGAGAGGAAAATTAACAGAGAAAGCCTGTTCCAGCGTCTACAGACCAACCCGGGTCAGGCTCTGTCTCAGATGGCGAGGGACATGAGAGAGTCGGAAGGTCTGCAGGTGCAGAGATTATCCACAGAGATAGTGGCCTATCCTTCAGAGCAGCGGGGCAGGCCCCAGAGTCGCAGAGTCAGCTCTACAACCAGGAGGAGAATGTCCACACGCACAGAGAAACGCCAATAGATGTGCCAAGAAGTAGGTTAAGATCAGATCATTTGAGGCGTCTTTACATTGATAGTAATATCAGAATTATTCAGATGTTCTCTGCTTTTCATTTCTAGATCTTCGGTCAAGACCGATATGATGGCCTCAAGGCGAGGAAGTAAAAATGGCCCGTCTGTTGTTGAGTATTAACTCCCTCCTGACTATGGCAACCACAAAACGAGGCAGACAGCAATTCATCAAAATCAGTGTGATTGAAGATATTCATTAGACTTATACTTACTTGAAGGGTTTGGTATATAAATGTCTTCCTTCCCTCCTTGAAAGGCATCATTTGTCTATATGTAACGCAGTGGCTTGCATTTATTTAATTAGCTTTGGTCTAATTGTATGTATGAATAGACTAAACTGACGTTTAAGAATGTAACTTTTATAATTTGTGGCATTCCACATGTGGATGTTTTTGCTGATGTCACTCAATGCTTGAGTTGACACCAAACCTTCAAAAGCTGTAAATACTATGCCAGGCCTCCAACACTTCATAATTTGCCGTTGCTTTCCACTGAACTTCTTTTCGAGATCAGAAAGAAACCAACTTGAGACCTTGTTGTCTGCCACAGACCCTGAGACATTTTTCTACAATCTTGGGAACTCACTCCACCAAGGCAAGGCACACTCTGAAGAGACCTGTTGGATGCAGTGGGGTGAGGCATGCCACCCAGGGAGGATGTTTTCAGTCATGCTTCTTAATGTTTTTCCTTAGCATGCCACATTGCCAACTGTGTCTCAGCCAAATGTCCTTCCACACTTACTTAGAACGTGTAAGACCAAGGCCTTCGCCAAGACAAGCATGGATCTCACTAGTGGCAGGCAGTCTAAAATGAGATAAGTTGACTGTGAGGTGTGCCATAATTTCTTTTTGTCCTCTGCACATTCCAAATTAGCATCACCAAACAAAACGTTACTGAAAACTTTATATTCACAAATATCTCACTTTCTCAGAAACCATTACAGAGACTCATTCAGGGTCTAAATTGACTTTGTTTTTATTGTTGGGTAATGTGATTGTCAGCTGCCTTTATATCTTGAAGTGCAATAACTATATGAAGCAAATAATTTAACAGCTATGCGTAGAATCTATTAACCTTTTCATACTTTGCTGCATGACTGAGTTGAATTTACAATTTGTACAACACAGTAATCTTTTCAGCTTCAGAGAGCAACCTGGGTAGCAGAGGTTAAAACTCTACAGGGAGCCCTCTCTTCATTAACAGTACCCACTGTATAATTATTACACATGGGAGTAATAATTAAAAAGTGACACAAAAATTAATTTACTGGCAAGGTTCTACCATTCTGACAGTATGTGTGGCAAAATAAGTCATCAATCGATTTAAAGTATCCATCTTGATATGTCTTAAGACGAATAGAAAATAGATGTAAATTCAAATGTTAAGGCTATTTTAGTTGAGGTTGATATGAGAAAGAAGCTTCACTTAGTGATAAAAGCTCCAAACTTGTTTATCTCCAAAATGGGCACTTGCAGACTCATGGGAGAAGCTCCTCAAGCTGAACTAATCCAACAGCAAATAAAAGTTGGCATGGAGAAAGCTGACAAGCAAATAAGCCTTCTGTTAATTAGAAAATAAATAGCTCACTCTCTTGAGAGCTATTAAAACAGTTTGACCCTGACTTCCACAACAGCCAAACAAGTTAATTTACAGGAAAGAAAGGATGATGTTAAATAATCAACAATATACTGGGCTCAAGAGGATCATGGTCAAGCATATTTACCATCAAAATGGTACCCTCCCCACTGTACAGTTAACTTGAAGTTTTCAGCTCGATCCATTTAAGCCTGATTACATTTTTATTGCTATTGTGCAACAGATTCATTGTTTAATGTGTGCTAAAAATGTACCAATGGGAAGTTGAATGTATCCATGAAAATCCAATATTTTAACCCTATACTTGTACTTGGACCCACATTGAACAACAATCTCTTTACATTATGCACAATGAGTGGCACACTCCAGAAAAACACTCAAAACAAAGTAATATAGGGTGACAACATGTGGTACCTTTGCCATTATTGCTGAACTCTTTAATCACAGGCCTGTGGGTCTATGACTGTAAAGTTCAGATCTCCAGATGACAACAAACATCTCCCTGCAGCAGATGTAGCATCCACCAGAAAGATGATTGAGTCCAGGTGTGGGAAGAGATAAGTCCTATAAAATGCAATGGTGTGTGAGGTTAGCTGAGGAGGCCCAACAGCTGTAGAGCAACTGGAGGAAATGTTAGACCAAAGACATCAATAGAAATTGGAGCAAGATTATCCAGTGATGGATTTAATCATTTTGGGGTACTGTTTGGTAAATGGAAAAAAGAAAGGGAAAATATTAGTGGTCTTTGGCCTTACAGTCTATCACTTACAGAATATCAGACCTCGGAAGTGGTTGCACATGGAAGAATGCAGGATTTTGGAGGAGAATGCCTTGACAGGAGAATTGGCTTATTCATGAGGAGAACTTATCAGGGGAGTTTGAAGGACAAGGTAACGATAATAGACTGAGTAAACCATTATGTAAGGCTTTGCATGGGAAAGTAAGCTGGCTTCTCCAAACAGTTGCTTTGTCTTCTGGGGAACTTCAAAGGAGATTAAAGAACCTCAGCAATGTTTGGTTTGATAACTTAAGAAAAAGTTTCCAAAGACTTTAGAATCAAATAATGGGAGTTTGAGCCTGAATCCAACAGATATAGCACATAGCAAAGGAAATGTTTATCTTACTGAATCTCAACGGGAATGGCTGTTGTAGCAACCTTTTCATTTTACAGGGATTCAATGTTAATTTCATAAATATGATTTAATGGAGATTTATGTATTTTTGTTTAACCCCTTTAGAGGAATAGTTCAACATTTCTGTCTGTTCAATATGAGGCTTGTGTTGTGGCCTGTTATCTTAGCTTAGCATAACTGGAAACAGGAAAAAAACATCTAGCCTGGGTATCCTTGAAACCCCAATGGTAGCATGGCAACTGTACGATAAAGTGAGGACTCCAGGACATTTGTCACATAACCCCCAACCACATGTCTTTTTACACTTCCCTGTTCACATAGATAAAACAAACAAGATATTACTTATTCATTAGTGAGCTATAAAGGTGCTGGTAGGCGACCTGTACCTTTGGACAGAGCAAGGTTTGCTGTTTTCAACTGTCTTTACTAAGCTAAGCTAACTGGCTGCTAGCTGTGGCTTCATAAATGGGCTACAGTACAGACATGAGAGTGGTATCGATCTTTTCATCTAAATTTCTGCAAGACAACAAAAAAAGTACATTTCCAAAAATGCCTAACTAATCCTTTAATAAATACTCCACACTATTTTATACTGAAGAATTGAATGCTTGACAATTGGCATTTTCATCCCCTTAGACTTACTGCCTAAACTTGGCATGTTACTGTTACAATTAAAATTTGAAAGAAGAATATGTGAAGTTAACTGCTTTGGAAATACTTGACCTGATTGACCTGATTTTGCCTCTTTGTCACAGAATTTCTGTGGGTGCATGTAATGCTAAGCCACACTATTTAAAGCAACATTATGTAAGATTGTTTTTTTGTGAGATTTGGTACCCCTACCATTTCTGAATGTAATTCATCTGTCATAAATAAGGAGAGCTGTACATGTGTATCACTTACTTACTAGCCTAACTGTGTACACAGAAGGAAAGCATCTGCATCTTGCAGCCTTTTCATAAAACTCTCTCCAACGTGCAGGAGCATCTTGCTGGGTCACTCTCCTTTTCTCCTTTTCTCTTTGTTTCCTTCATCAACGTCCTCTTTGGTCTCTTCAGCTCTGCCATTAGCTAACGATATGTCCATAGAGGCTGCTGAGCCCGTATCGCCCGACTACAGCGCGACACCTGCAACACCCTAGTGGCAAGCTAGCCAACAAAGCTAGACGCGAAACGTTGTTTATGCACAGGACTCCAATGTTACATAGTGCCAATAACCAGCGCTACCCGGCAGGGAGCGGCAATGACAGATAATGCCATTCACCCTTTCACAAGTCAGTGTAACATGAAAATAATTTTGAAGCTGTTATATTAAGATACAATTACTACATAATGTTGCTTTAACTTTGTGATATTCCACTTTTGTGCAGAAAAGCACAAGACTCTCAGTGAATTCTCGGACTCTCTCTTCTGTACAGTCCAGCTGATCTTAAGGAGATCATCATTCATTCAGGAGGTCATCTTTGAACCTTTCCAACACTTTCTGGCATATATGAAGAGAGTTGTATATTTTTCAGTGCTCCAGGAAGCCACCCTGAGCTCAAGTAAAATAATTACATAAATGAACTCCTGATAATACTCTGTAAATGCATAACTATTGCATGGTGATGCCAATCTCGTTTCTCTCTGATTTAAGTTTTTATGTGTAAATTGTGTATTGTATGAAATCTACTATAATTGTAAGACCAAGAAACTGTAAATAAATGATTTTTTGTTAGTGTTTCATTAACATTATTGTGTATTTTTTTATTAAGGACACATGAAAAAACATAAACGTTCAACAATTTCATATTTCTGAAGGAAAATGGGTTTTGGTCTATTTTCTATCAAATATATAACATTGATGCTAATATTTAATTTGTCAAATACACTATACGGAGCCCTGCGATGGACTGGCGACCTGTCCAGGGTGTACCCCGCCTTTTGCCCGATGGCAGCTGGGATTGGCTCCAGCCCCAATCAACCCTGTATGCAGGACGATGGATGGATGGATGGACACTATACAGATACAATTGTACGCTTTGCATAATAACAACAATAAATACAGTACAAAAAACACAACAGTGGAAGCCTACAACAAATAGGTAGTAAATTAAATATGCCTAAAATTACAGTGTATGCAGATATTTCATACAGGCGTGATGCATAATTCACATAACAACAAATAAAATGCATTACAATTAGCTATATATAGTATATGCAATATATTTAAAGAAACAGAGCAAAAGGCTGACATGAATGCTGGATGTAATGTAAAGAAACAGCTCCTGACCTGTGCAGAATCCTGAATAATGTTTACTTTTGACTTTTCCACCAACACAAATAGCTGCATCTCCATTGTGTACGCCCATTACCCTCCAGGTGATGAGTTATAATGCACAAAGCGATACTTCTGGTGCACATAAACAGACAGTTTTAGCCAGTGGAATTATTATTGTAATAAAGTTGCACAACAGGGAGCACAGCAGGGAGGAAAATGAGAGTGTTGAGCCACACTGTCACTGACACCTTCATGACTGGGCTCTCTGTGTCTTCCAGAAAATGGAGCTGACCGAAAATATAGTGAGTGTCTGCTCTCACCGCTAAGGAATAAAGAAAACACACTCAGTGCACACACACATAAAGCTAGAAAAACACATTTTTCTTGAGTCAGTGGCGGTCAGGTCGTGAACCTTCCTCCGGCGCCTTACTAACAGTTTCTTTTTAGTCCCATTGCGTCAGTAACAGACAAACCTGTCTGTGCACAGGCCAGAAATGGAGAAAAATGGTGATGGAGACGTCTTAATGCCGGGACTGCCACCAATCTTAATTGCAGTGCCCTTCATGTGTGTTCTACTTGCTGGAACTCTATTTGGGTAAAAAAAAACAAAACAAGGACAGAACTACAAAATCTGACAGAAAGTTTCTGTTGTGTTGACATCACTGGATTATGTGTCTAAATATATCCAAAGCCACAACTCAGCAAGTGTGACTGCTTGCCTGTGGGTTGAACCGTGCCTTTGGTAACACTTGGAAAGACATGAAAGAGGATTATTGGTAGTAATGAACTTGAGGTTGTTTAGTTTAGTTAGATATCAGCCTCTGAAAGAAACTGACAAAAAACTTCCACAATTACATGATTACAGATTCTTCCACTGAAAATGACTGGAAGCTTTATGCTCATAAAAGGTGGCCTGTACTGCTCAGTCCAATACAGTTGCTGTCGGCTGGCACCTTAAAAGTATAAACTTATCACAACTGATAATTTGTTTTAATAATACATGTTTTATAAAAAAAAATCATTTGTACTTTTCATTCTGAGCATGTTGTCCATTTGAACTAGATTAGCACTGCATTTTGAGTATATTGTAATGACTCCTGTTACCTCTCACATGACTGTGAAACACAAAGGCTCTAGCTGTGTGTGAATTCATTCCCTCATACCAATTATGGTTAGAGTTTTTGCAAATGATCGTGTTGTATTTAAATTTGAAATAACATAGTATAACAAGACTTGTAATAGTTTGGGCAGGTAGAGAGATCCACTTTGCATATTTGACTGATAAAAAAGTAAAGAAAAAACATATTCCACTCTGTAGTTTTATAAATAATATTGCCTTCTTCAGGAATTCACTTTTATACTGCCAATAATAAAATATGCTGCTTAGTTGTTTAATATCTGAGTTAAATTTTGTGTTTTTATATTATATATTCACTACTGTCTGGTGTGTAAGCAGTGAGCTTACAGCTCTCCATATTCAGTTCTGTGATGAGTCTCTAACTGGAATGCCAGCAAGAAACAATTTAATGATGTCATGTCCTCTTCAGACAATCCTCTTGATATCATCCTGAGTTTGCAGCAATCAAAGGAGAAATGGTCTGTGAAAGTGACAGATAAGGCTTAGGAATGTTTCAGATGGCTTGGGTTTGTGGAACAAGTCCTAAAAAAAGCCCAGGCTCGCTGCAGCGGTCGATCGAAGGGAGGAAGCAGCCGCATGCGGTGGATCAACTCTTCTGATCTGCAGGAAAAGGCTGCAAGGAGAGACGACTGGCGTGTTTCACGTACACGTTGCCATCCTCCAGCTTGACCTCATACACTTGTTGCTGTAAAAATCAAAACAAAGGATGCAAAGACATGAGATCTGGAAGCAACACATCATCATGACCCACTGTGGAAGCAGCAAGAAGTCACACAGGACATTAAAATGCCAAGTAATCTTATTTAATGTCACTTTTCACAAGTAAAAAATCTCCTGTGAAAACTTCAAAGACATCCGAATATTTGTTATGTTTCTTCTATTGCCTGACATCATAGGTCTTTACAAGAGAAACAACAGATCATAAAAATGATTAATGGAAAAGCGAACGAGATGTTTATGGAAAGTGAAGCTCTTGTTAGGGCTGTTCATTGACGCATGAATTCCAAATAACAAAAAATGTTTGACACAAAACGCTTAAACCCTGATTTCTCATGCCGTGTCAATCAGTGGAGCATTCCTACATGTTATAGAAGAGGATGATTTCTCTGCATATTACTGCAAATGTTCACGTCAACTTCCAGGTGCAGTCAGCAAGTGAGGCTCCTGATATACTGGGCATCTTCTGAGGTGCAATTTGTAGCTCTTAGTAATATTTTTCATTACTGTATATTACAAATATGTTATGTGTATGCTGAGCATTTAGCAGTTTATGTGGGAAAAGCAATAAACTATCTTACAGGAAGGACGTATTTAAACACTGACCTGTAAGGAGGAGCCTGACTTCCCAGTTCTGAGGTCGAAGTCATAGTCGTGCCAGGGGCAAAAGACTTGCAGAACCCCATCAGCCTCCTCAATGTCCCCCTCACACAGAGGGCCGCCTGGGAGACAGGAAATTGTTAATCACATATTTTCCCACTCTAAACAAATGACTTTTGCTTGTCTTCCTTAGAGGAAAATGTGATTGTGAGGCTTGCACAACATGGTGTGAAACTGATAAACTCCTCTGTGGTTTTTTTTTTTAAAGCAAGACGGCATTATGGTGTCCGAACAATAATGCTGCGATGATGTGTTGAGAAGAAATCCGCTTGACACTGTTCTTGATCATAAAAGTTTATTACATCAAGGAGTTCAGCATCAATTACAAGCCCTGCAGCAGCTTGGAGAGTGACCCAGCCCGATGACCACTCTGTCTCTCTGTACATCAAACACAGCTTATATAGGACATGTTTAGGTATCTGTTAGACACCATATAAGGGTCTGAGTCTCCACATAACCACTGACCTCTACTCTCCCCTTAAAAGGTCACTAATCCTCTATCCAGCTGCTACAGTGCTATGTTAAACTGTTATGCTCAAATGCACATATGTTATACACAACAGCATAAATAAACCAGATCCTCTTATTTTGTTGTACCTACAGCTAAAGTCTAGCCCGCATTTAGTAGTCCACATCCAGCTTCGTATTACGGTGAACACGCATTATAAGGCTATAATTTTACATTTTTAAAATAGGATGTATCGCCTTTAGAGATCGCGATAATACATTTGGGTATTGAGGCTTTACCGGAATGTGAACAGCGAGCATCCATGGCAAAAAACTCCCCCTTCACGTAGAATAGGCAGACGTCAGACTCGTAGCCGTGGGAGGAGTACATTAAACGGCAGCGCTTGTTGGAAAGCCCCGATACCGGGCCTATGAGTCTCCATGAAACGCCATCCGCGCTTCCCTCTTCATCTCCGGAGCCAGAGGCCATAAAGAGCGGCGAAATGTGCTGGTTTTCTAATTTGCGCTACTACAGAGCTCCTATTATCCGTCAGTGCAAGAGGATTTGGCAGTCCGCTCTGTGAAAATATTCCATATTAACCACCAGGCCGACTAGTGCGACGGTCAGCCCTGCGGATTGAGCTGCAGCCAGCCAGCCGGGACACCGTCACACCGAGGCACGCAGTGCGCTCTCCAGCACGGCTGCTCTTCATTTGAACTACATGTGAATGAAATTTGTTACAGGTAATACATGAGCTGCGCAGATATTCTTCACAAAGCCACAGATTCAGTAATGCTACTAGTGTATCACTTCCAAATACACAGCTGCACTAATATAAAATAGGCTCTAAAATACTTAATCCCCAAAGTCCAGGACAAACTTGAACACAATGGTCCTTACATGTTAAATCATAGCAAAGAGCTTAATATGGGGAAGGCTGCCCATCAGAAATACATGTTTCATTATATACTGACCCAGACAAAACCTTCCTGTTCTTTGATTAGGATCAGTCTGTGACAAACTCACTGTTTTATGTTCAAACAATGCAATTCTGCAAATATACATATTCTGCGTTCTTGGTGGCCCTGTTGAGTTTATTGGGAACACTTAAATATACAGTGTTGGACTTGTTCCCAAAGAGTGTGGTAAATGTGGAACATTACTTTTTATGTACTGTGCAAATAGTTCAAAACCATTTCTCAATTATCAGTTATAAAGCTTGTTATTGTTCTTTCATGGTAGACTCCATAATGTACTGTGCTCCAGACAGGTATTTGGCTGGATTTCTTCATGTTTTTCCACAGTGCAGTTTCTTAGTATTATCGCAGATTGTTTGTGAACTCCATGTGTCTGCCAGTCTAATAGTTGTTGACCTTTTTTTGTGTCAACTGTGTGGTGTTGTCCCATTGAAAAAAATGTAATTTCTGTCAGCAGTGCTTTATCAAGTAACAGTTTATAGAACATATAACCTTAATCTTAAAACAGGATGTTAATAAATCTTAAAACAGGATGTCCATCTTCCGTTAGTCAGTTTAACCTTAATCAGACCATTTATATTTGCCAATAAGCCAGCCATCAGTCTATGATCAAAGAAGATTAATGATTCATCATCACCAGTGTTTAAAACCTACCTTTCCAGTAGAATTGATGTCAATTGGCAAATTGCAAAAAACAAAAATACATACATGATGATCTGTATTTCTTCAACTTTGATTCACTTTGTCTCCGTCGCTTTATTGTGCCAGTAATAATGCTGCTGGCAGTTTAGCTTATAAGTAATGTGAGTTACTGTCTAGACTGGAGTGATACATAACAGAGGCCACTTGTTCGGATTCCTGACTTTGAGAAATTGACTCATGTAAGCTTGCAGCATGAGCGCAGAGGAGTGTAGTAATGCCATGAAGACGTGTCATGGGCAGGAAGAAGGAATGCTACTGCGTCTTGTCAGAAGTTGGATCTCAGAAAATGTTAATGTGAAGTAAAATCACTTAAGAATAAGGAAAGCCAGTGTAAAGAAAACTGAGCTGAGTGTGACTGAATTCTCAAATATGTTCTGGGCTAACAGACGTGGCAGATTGACAGGAAGGTTATCATCATTATAACTCTTTCTACATGTGTCTCCACCTGTGACCTTGATATGTAAATGTATTAGGTGTGAATGCTGAAGCCACAAAAGACTCCTACATGCCAACAGTTAAAGTTCTAAATGTTATGGAATAGCTAGCATGTCATATAATCGTATTGTGGTAATCTTTGTGTTGTTTTTGCAGAGATTTCCTATTGTCAGCAATTAAATCATTAAGACCATATACAGTATGCTTTCAGTGTGTCTTAATCTTTCAGTGTATCTTAAAACAGCGTCCTTAGGAAAAAGAAAATCACAGCAATGATGATTTTTTCATTCACTCTTTATATGTACTTACCAAATGGTAATTTTCGAACAGGTAGAGGACCAAATGACCTTAGCACTGCCAAATAACAGCTACTAAACCTGAAAAATTAAATAATTCAAGACTGTCAGTTTACTTCAGCAAAGGGTTTAACAGCATATCATTATAGCATTTCTGCGGAGATACCTGGAATAAAGCCCAAATAACTAGCAGTAAAGCACAGCTGGTGATATTTTGGCATGCAGATTAGCACAGGTAGGCTTGTATCATGCAACATACAGCAGGGTTTGATTGGAAAATCACCAAAGGTGTTTATTTTCAACAATGCTGCCAAGTGTTACTTATTAGAGGGTGGGGCCCTGAGGTTAGGAAATGAGCCCAAGAGGATTTCAGCCAAAAAGCTGTACAGTAAAGTGGACAGTCTGCTGGTTTGAGGTGACACTGACAAACTGACAGTCATTACCAACAGCTCTGCTTTGGCACGCTGAAAGGTGAGAAGACTGTAAGGCACAGACTGTGAATCAAATTAAATGAGCTCCAAAATATGTGACTTTTTAGAGTGAAAAAAAAATAATTACACAAATCAAAATGATGTATTGTGGAAAATTTGAGTCAGTAGGCTGGATGGGATTAATAAACAAAAGGTGCAGACAGGCCAGAAACACACCAAAATGATGACAGGAGGATAGTGCTGTCCATAAATTTCTTCACCTTCTTGTTGCAGCACTCTGACCACTGGACAGTGTACCTATTTGCATGAGGCAAAATTTGGTGTAGAGAAAGTCTGGCTCAGAACAGATATTAGACTGTGAGTGGAGCCCAAACTCATTCATCATTAGCCTTGTATTGTCAACAACCCAGCAACCACCTTCAAAATTCTCTTAACTCATCTGCCAAGGAAGGATGGAAGACCAACTCCACAGCCAACGTGGTTTTCATTAGCTAAGCAAGTGCTCCAGCCAAGCTCAAAACCCCACTACCTGCTTGCTTTGCTCCTTTTTCAAATAGGTCTTATTCAAGTGCTTGTTGTTTAATGTACCAGTATCAGGACAGTGCAATTTTATAACACTACTGTTAAGTATAACAGTATACTTAAGTATAACACTACTGTTTGCCTGGTACTTGATATCCTCTATAACTTTGGAACAAGAGTAGCCACAATGTCGTTATGTCACTTCAAATGCAAATCCAGACTCAACTTTGATTTTTAGTAGACAGGAAACTGAACCCACAACTGACTCCTCAGCCGAGTCCCAGTGTCTGCTCTCACAGACCTGCATTCCCAATAAGCTCAGAGGCTCTGCTCAGTCCCACTGTGAAAACGATAAGTGGTTGAGTGCTTTCATAAATGTTTGAGCTCTTTATGCACACTTGTGTGCAATGCTGCTGACTGTGCTTAAGGGTATTACAGTTTATAGCTTTCTAATGTTAAATTGTGGCGCTGGTGCAATGGGGTGGCGATGGCGCAATGGATAAGATTATGCTTTTGATGTGAGAGACCCAGGTTCAATCCCCCACTGTGACCCACCATTGTGTCCCTGAGCAAGACACTTAACCCCTAGTTGCTCCAGAGGTGTGTGACCTCTGACATGTATAGCAATTGTAAGTTGCAAATCTTGATGCTAAAGGCTCCCTTGTGATGAATATGTGTCCTGGGAGTGAGAACGGGCTGGTACTATTCCTTTAATCAAAGTTGATAAAGTTTCCGTGCTTTTGGCTTAGGTTGATGTTAGGACTGGGCGTTCTGTTCTGCAGCAGAAATCCCCCCTCCAAAGAAACCCCAAAAACAAATCAGATCCTAAGAGAGAGATTACGGTCAACCACAGTCCATACCCAGTCTTAGGTCCAGGGGGTGGACAATACAATAAAAACACCAAACAATAAGAAACAGCTTAAATCCTGAAAAAAGTGTAGTGGGATATTGGATCATTTGTCAAGAAGGAAATTTAGTTCTGTGAGGAATGGGACGGAGGTAACTCCACACTCCCAATCTCATAAAGGTTCTATAATATTTTAATCTGCTTACCGGGGAGGTCATGGGAGGATCTTGTTCTTAATAGTGTGCATGAGACCACTCTTTGATTTGTTTAGCAGTGTTTATGGGTGCATCAGGGTCTTGGAAAGCAGGATCATGCTTAGGGAACAGTATTAGCACCACCTGGACCTATAAAATAGTCTCATTCTTTGACTGTCATATTACCATGAAGAGCAATAATCAGATCTAATGACACGACACGGCTGCTCATACCATTACAGATCCACAATATTAAACTGTTGGCAGCAGTCAGTGCACACTGAAGGCATCCTTTGGCTTTTTCCTAACATAAAGCTGCCTGACTGAAGGAAAAAGGGTGAAAACCAAGATGACTCATCAGAGAAAATTATGGTCTGAATTATGGAAACTTGCAGAAAACAGGACAATGAGCAGACCTCTTGCTGCTAATTGGCAATCAACTTAATATGTGAAAGCTGTGTAGCCTGATTTATTGTAGTGATTTAGACACTTCAAGGTCAATCATTTCTTATGCGTTGATATTCTTCATGCCGCTATTATTCTTCATGCCGCTATTATTCAAGATTATTTGTGTAACAAACAGAAATGAAGAACGTCAAGTTTGAAATGTTGATTAATGGCTTTGTTTGCTTCTCTTGTGATTGGACTTTGCGAGTTCAATCATATTAGCGTGATCGATGGTGCTGAAATGTAAGTGAATGCAGACACTTCCTTCCTTTCTTAGCTTGTCAACATACTTCTCTTTGCAAACTTACTTTGACATCGTTAATGTTCCTTAACAATGCTATTTCTCATATAATGGATAGTGCTGACATTTAGATACAGTTTGCTGTTTTGCTGGAGATGTAGGCTGACAGGATAAATGTGATCCAATGTGATGTTATACAGCATGATTTCCTTTGGCATACTACGAAGCAGCATTCAACATGGGGTACAGAGAGCAAGATTCAGAGCAGTTTTCCAAAAGGCATTACTCAGTAAAGGGCACCTTGTTTGACCTGCAAGCATCTTAAACCATAGAATGTTTTTCTCCGACCAATTTGTATAGGAAAGACATCCTTTAATTGTGTCTGTGAGACCGCAAGGGCATGACATTGAGCCGCTGAGTCACTCTTTGTAAAATCTGCCCCCCTCCACTGCATACATGTCTGCAGGAGAGATCAGACTATGCTACATTCCTTCCTTCTTGTCCTCAGTCTTGATTATATCCAGACACAATATGTCTTGTTCTTCAAGGATCCCAGCTTAGCAGACAGGCTGTTGGGAGAGGTAGCGTCTGAAGAGTGAGGAGGAGGCAGAAGTTCACCATTTGAAAATTCAGACATGCAGTTTTCATGACGTGACTATGATGCTATGATACAGTGTGCCATATGCTTTATGTTGGATTGTACTGATATACTGTGTTGACTGGAGGAACTAGGATCAGGTATATATTGTTGGTTTTGAGGAAGCCCTAATGACCTAGTTTATCGTATGTGACCAAATGGGCAAAATGCAAAATTATACCACATTATACCCAATGATTTTCAGTAAATGCAGCTTGCAGACTGTTTTTGAGATTATTAAAACTTTATACTGTGAGATGCAAAAAACATATATGATACACACACACACACACACACACACACACACACATACATACATACATACATACATACATACATATATATACATACATATATATATATATATATATATATATATATATATATATACGGTATATATATATATACCCCCACCACCTGAAGCCTAAATGAACTACTCCCATTGAAATGAATGAGCGGACTGACTGCCTAAGAGTCTACCGCCATCCTAGTGGCTCTCTGAGGTTGTACTTGGGCACAGAGGTGCTTACAGCTAAATGCTTATGTCATGTTGACAATGATAAGTCTACGATGCAGGTTTATAAGAGTGAAATATTTACCCACCATTTTAGTATAGCGCTTTCTAGCATGCTAATGTTTGCTAATTAGCCCTAAACAGATATAATGGGCTGATGGTAATGAGATTTGTTTTGCAGGCATTTGGTCATAAATAACAACGTCAAACTTGGACCATTTGGTCACACTATATGATCACCAGTGTTATTAGCATTCATTCTCTGAGCACCATGGATATTTGTACCAAAGTTTGTGGAAATCTAGCAAATAATTGTGGAGATATTTCACTCAAAAGAACAAGTGTCATGCTTGTGGTAGAGCTAGTGGAAAAGTCAGTCATTAGGATTCATCCACTGGGAAAATTTCATGGAAATCCATCTACTAGTTGTTGAGAATCTAGGGGTTTTGGGTTATTACAGTGAGCTGCAATGTCACTGAGATGGAGACAGACAGAGAATAAATATAGAGAGCAATAAACATTCCTGTTTTCACTTTATCTACACTGTCAGACTGTTTATATGTT